GCTCTCACGGCGGCCTCGCCGTCAAGAACTCCGGCTACAGCTGCTGCCTCCGCTCCCACCGGCGCCAGATTGACCGGCGCTGCAGCAATGTCATCAGCAGCTGGCTGCTGGGCCGGCTGATCCGGCTGCTGGAATGGTCGCCTCATGTACATGATGATGCCCAAGAGAAGAGTCAAAACGGTTATCATGTACAAATCCCAATTGGCAGCTATATTTTCATCCATGTAGAAAATGAACCTGTAAGGTGACTGGAGGGGAAGTGTTATATAATATATTCCACGTTTTATCCAGAGTATTTCCACATACCTCCTTGATTGATTCAATCTTGGCCAGCATTTGCAGCTTGAAGAGGGCAATGGCCACTGGCACCTTGGCGTCCGAGTTGGTCTCGGCAGCCAGATCATACAGTCTTTTGGCCAAATGCCAATCCTTCTTCATGCCCAGCCCCTGCTCGTGCATGTAGCCCAGATTGAACATGGCCTGTGCATTGTACTGCTGTTCCGATGCTTTCCTATGGGATTTGTATTAGTCTTTATTTGTTTGCCTATCAATTGATGTGCAACCAACCTGTAAAGAGCGGCTGCTGTCTCGAAATCGGTGGAGGTACCCCAGCCGTAATAATAGTAGTCGCCCAGCTTGACTTGGGCCGCCGAGTAGCCCTGACCGGCTGCCCGTTTCCAGTAATAGAATGCGCGTATCAGATCCTCGTGCCGATCGTTGAACACATGCACTTCCTCGCGGTCAAGTAAAAAGGCGGCGTTACTTTGGGCCACCTCGTAGCCCACTTCGGCCATCAGGGAGTACTGCATGTAGGCCTCGTCGATGCGGTTCTTCTTGTAATCGCTGTACGCGTGCATCAGTCGGCTGCTCCAGCGACCACGTTCAGAGACAGTCTTGAAAAACTGGAAGTATTGGGAGTATTAAACCAGTTAGAAACTGATTATCATTTTAGGTGGCTACAAGTAATCGACTTACTTCAACTGCGGCTGGGCATGAACGTAGCATTCCCATGCCATAGGCATTCATCACACCCAGGTTATAGTAAGCTAAAACGTGGCCTGACTGGGTGGCCAAGTTGAAATACTTGAGAGCGAGCTTGTAGTCCGTTTTTACGCCATTGCCAGCTAAACAATAAGAAAGTTTTTATAAATATGTATTGCCGTTTGGAAGATAACTTCTATCTTATCAAAACTAAAATAAAAAGGAAGCTAGTTGGATTTTTAACTCACTGAAATACATGTTGCCCAACTGAAGTTGTCCATCCACCCATCCTTGATCGGCAGCCTGTGTGAAATAGGACAACGCCTTGATGGGGTCCTTGGGCACGCCCAGACCCTTCAGGTACATTAGACCCAGTCCGCTCTGACCCACTGGATCGCCCATCTCGGAGGCCTTTGAGAAGTACTGAGCGGCAAAATACAAAACAAAAATAAGCACGTAGGACATAAACTTCTGTTATCAACAATGTCATGCCCACCTTAAATGCGGTATCATTATCAGCCTTGATTTGCTCGCTTCCCTCCAGATAAAGTTTGCCCAGAAAAGCGAATCCAATGGCATTGCCCGCATTAGCCGCCTGGGTGAAGTACTCCAAGGCCTTCTGGTGATCCTGCTGAGTGGCCTTGCCGCCCTGGTAGTACAGCTGACCCAATCCCACCTGCGACTGGACGTCACCCTTGTCGGCCAGCAGCTGGTAATAGTCCACAATCTCCGTCTCGTGGCTGCCGGGGTTCTCCAGTTCGTCCAGAAGTCGCACCCGATGCACAACCGGACCATTGGCGAAGGTTATTTTGGAGGCAACCTTCTTGGCCACTCGCTTGTACTGAATCAGTGCCTTCTCACAGCTGATGGGCACATTGATGCCGTACAGATAGCGATATCCCATGGCCATCTGGGCCAGGGTGTTGTCGCCCAGGGCGGCCAGCGTGTAGTGAATTAGGGCCAGCGGCTGGCTAACGTTCTTGCCACCCACCCCCGCCGAATAGAGGAATCCCAGGCCCATGTGCGCCTCTGGGACACCTTCGTTGACCAGGCTCTCGAACTCGTCTGCGGCATGGTTGAAATCAAAGTCCATCCAGTGGCCCAGGAGGACGGCCCAGGCCAGTTCAGCCCGTGCCTTGAGGTGATTGAAGGCGGCGGCCTTTTTGAGCAGAGTGAAGGCGACCCTCTTGTCCGTGCGCGGTTTGGCCAGCATGTCCATGGCGTTGTCGTACATGGTTTGAGCTGAAAGCACAGGATCAGAAATAGTTTCGGGAGTTTATGTATATGCCGACTTACCTTCTATCTGCTCTGGGGTTGGTTCCAACACCTCAGTGGGCTGGCGCTTAGCTTCGATTCGCTCGATCTCGGCCTTTAGCTTTTGCTGCCTCATCAGGCTGTCGTTCCAGAGGCGTTCGAGCAGGGCAGCCGGCATGACCTTGGTGCGGGGAGCAAACTCTGTGGATTCCTTGGGCTTTGCCGCTTTGCGTTCGTTGCTCTCGGCCGGAGCCCGTGCCTCCGACTCGGCCGTAGTCACCTCCTCGGCCTCCGCCTGGGTGGAGGGCTCATTGGGATGGGTGGGCGTGGCGGTCCCAGTGCCTAGACCCGTACCCGTACCCGTTCCGGTGCCCGTGCCCGTACCCGTTCCGGTGCCCGTGCCCGTGCCAGTACTGCTGCCAGTGGCGTCTGTGTTGGGCCCCTGGAGCTCCTCTGCCCGCAGCTGGCAGGCGAGGAGGAGCACCAGAAGGCATATCCAACTTTTGGCCATCATCGTCGCCTATCTACGTGGTCGGGGGGCGGGTAATGGCGCTCTGATCTGATGGTTTTACACCAATAATTTCGATCTCCTCAAGTGCCTCGTCCAACTGCTGCCTTTCCACTTCTGACGTGTTGTGTTATTTACTTCTTGCTCGCGACGCAGCGCCAGCGGAAAGATCGATTGCTTTTCTCGGTGCGATCGTTCGGCTTATCGCTGGCTCATTTTAGCCAGCTGCGCTTGGTGGTTTAAATGACTTGGCTCTCTTTTCTTAATTATTCACACGTAAGATTCTTTTTTAATCTTTTTTGTTGCAATGTTTATAGTGCTGCGAACGGGCCGAGGTTTATATGGCCAGTGCTGCAAAACGCCGCGACGAATACAGAAGTGTCCAAGGGCGGGGCGAGAAACACTTTGCGAGGGATCAAAAGGAAATTATTACAGCACTGTAAAAAATGTTTTTATTACTAATTGAAAATTGCAGGATACAACCGCCTGAATAATTTTATTTTTATTTCCAGACCTCAATATAAACACATAAATATTGTTAACAAGGAACAATACTGTTAGTTAACTTACGAAATATCCAATTATAAAATGGCAAATTACTTTCCAAACAATTTATTATCCACAGTGATGAGCTTTCATAGTATTATTATTAATGAGAAATTATTGTCGACACAATTATGGATGTTAAAATATCAGTAACACTTTGTTTTTAAATTTTTTTTTATAACAGAAATATTTACCGAAAATAATTTGAAACCAAAATATTTATAAAAAAGTATACCTAAGATTTATGAATTTATTTTCGAAAAGGTTTATTTGATTTTTTAATTATGTCTTACATATGTATACAATTCGCTTACAACGAAAACATAAGCCTAAGCACTTGTTTCCCAGCCACCTGCGTTTAAAATGATCCCCTTTTTGGGAGCATTGGTTTTGAGAGGCCCCCAACTACGTCCATGCACTTTCCGCCTGTTGTGTCGTTATGCAAAGGAACGCGCAGATTTAACACAAGTGAATCGAATTGGAAGTGAAGCTGTTGACGTGCGATTGGAGGTGATAATTCCGAGCTAGACTAATTAGAATACGAGGAAGGTCTGGGTCCGTGAATCACTCACTTTTGTCTCGATCGATCCCGCCAGTCAGCCAGTCAGCCAGTGAGCAGCCGGCATGGAGATGAGTGTAAGTTACAATCTGCATGCCAGTGCCAGAGACACCCAAGCCCAAAACCCAAATCGAAACCAGTTCCAAGCCGCGTTTCGTTCAAGTCAGTCGCACAGCGCGAATCACTATTTAAGCTCGACCGCCAGCGCTGGTGAAAGTTACAGCTGTTGCGTTTGAGCCCCCGACCGAAATAGAGTACTCACCTGTCCCCTGACCCTGTGATTCCTGTGAATTCCTGTGATTCCAGGCCGCCATGTTCGCACGCGTGTCCTTCTACCCCACCCTGCTGTACAATGTCCTGATGGAGAAGGCCTCGGCCAGGAACTGGTACGATCGCATCGACGAACATGTAATACTGGGAGCCCTGCCCTTTCGCAGCCAGGCCAATGACGTAAGTAGCTAGAATCTACAATAGGCATCCCGATAAGACCTAGTTTGCATTCCCAGCTGATTGCGAAGGAGAACATGAAGGCGGTGGTGTCGATGAACGAGGACTACGAGCTGACCGCCTTCTCCAACAACACGGAGAAGTGGAACAAGTTGGGCATCGAGTTCCTGCAGCTGGCCACCACGGATATCTTCGAGTCGCCCAACCAGGAGAAGCTCTTCCGCGGCGTAGAGTTCATGAACAAGTTCCTGCCCCTTCAGCAGAGGATTGGCGGTCTGAGCACCTCCCTATTGCCGGATAACGTGGGCTCCGTCTATGTGCACTGCAAGGCGGGCCGGACGCGCAGTGCCACCTTGGTGGGCTGCTACCTTATGATGGTGGGTTGATCTTAATCTTTAAGTCTTACAAAAGCTCATGACCCTATTTCTTTGCAGAAGAACGGCTGGACTCCGGACCAGGCGGTGGACCACATGCGTCAGTGTCGGCCACACATTCTGCTGCACACGAAACAATGGGATGCCCTCCGGTTATTCTACACAAACAATGTGCAGGCCAAGTCATGACCAAGCCCGGACAATAGCCCAATTTTATTGCTTACAGTAGATTACCATACGTAACAAAGGTGGTGCCTGTTACCCAACTATTTTAGTGCTGACTTTCTTGTTGAATATACAATTTTCTACAAACGAACAATGTGCATTTGTGTTCTTTTTACAATTGTTTATTTACTGCTTATCGCGAAACTATGAATAAATAACTGGTGTTTCGTGGTTCGTCAACTAGTTGCTCTTGACTTCTAAGCCTTCTTCTCGGCATCCTTGCCCTTGATGGCCCAGAAGCGTTTGATGCCGTTGGCCAGACCCACGTCGTTCTGGATGAAGTAGAAAAGACCGCCCAGAGTGGCCACCGAGATGACGATCAGCGCAATGTGGGCCACTTTGGGCAGGACATTGCCCACGACAGATGGCCGCATGTAGTCGACCACCATGGCCTCAACGCCCCTGTAAGTTGGAGTAAAAGGAACATTAATAATTTTTAATACGGTTAAAAAAGTACTGTTTTGTCTGATCCAAACTTGTTACTCTTAGAAAATTTTCAGAAACTTAAAATCAAAGCTCTAGGAAATAAGGTGCAAGTTCATAATAAATTCTCAATATCTTGAAATCGATTCAACAGATCGGTCGAAAACATTAAACTGCTTCAAGTATTAACATTTGAAAGCCGTGAAAGATATATAAGAAAGATATATAAGGCGGTACCCCTAAAGGTAGGTTTCTTACCAATGGGTGTGGATGACGACGGAGACGGCCAGCAGGGCGTCCAATACCTGGGATGGGGCGATGAAGGCGGCTGGGATGATAGCCAGCAGACCGGCGGACACAACGCGCTCCACGGTCCACAGCAGAGTGTGACTCGATTCGGCGGAGGCCATGCGGGGAGCACTCGCGGAGATCTCACGGCGTACAACGGGCTGTCAAAGCAGGCAAGGATTAGCGTTAACAATGGATTACCACTTCCAAGCACTTACTGCAGCAATCTTGGCCAGAGACAGGGGCTGGACAACCGCCCGACGCTGGGCATTGGCCACCAAAGTGGAGTAGCTCTTCAGGGGCGTGATGCGGGCCGACTTGACGAGATTTACGGCTAAAAGCGGATACCAACAAACGGTTTGGTTATATAATAATGCCTGTTTTGAGGCTTACAATCGTGTAATTGACCAGCCCGGAGGTCCTTACCATTGCAACGTAGAGCGCCACGCAGAACCAGCGAGAGGGACATTTTGGGATGTGTAGAGATTGAGAATTTTCAGCTCAAAATAAAAACTCTATTGCTCCGTGAGACGTTTTGGCCGATTTGACTTAGAAATTAACAACACTGGACATAGAGTTGCCAGCTGTCTTCGATTTGTCGCTGTTATCGATTTACAGTAACGGTCGAAATATTAGTCCTGCATTGAATTTAAATCCCTTTACATTAAACAGTACAAAAAGGTATAATTCCGTTACTTTTTAGAGAAATGCATTTAAGGAATAATTTGTCTTTTAATTGTATTTTTTTTAATTTTTATGTTCAAAATAAGTGTGCTATTTATTTATCTGCTCTAAGTATTTGAGATTCGTTTGGGACGGACTGGCTGTTGCTAAAAAACGTTTGATCAACTTATGGGCTAATAAAATTTGCTTAATACATTTAAAAATTCACAATCTAAGGCACACAATTAATCCTAAAAGTCACTATATATTGGTGTTAATTTGTAAATTTCGTTGGATGGAATCATTAAAAAAAATACTTCGACCTTAGTGGGCCACTAAGCTCTTGATTAGCGCGAAAACCGTGACAATCACTCCAGTCAGTTGTAAATCGAGTGTCGCTGCTCCTGCTCGGTAAAAGTCCCAGTCGAAGACAATGTTGGAGGCGTCCGACGGCTTCCACGGGTTCAATCCGTCGTCGAAGAACATGGGACAGTCGTCGCGTTCTCGCTCGTACTCCACGGCATCGATGGCCACCGCAGCGCCCTCCGAATGGTTCCACGAGGTCACGTCCTGCTCCAGCTTGCAGAAGGCACCCACAGCCTGCGACATGAGGACGCGATTGAGGTCGGCGCGTTGATAGACCCAGCAGCGGTACTTGGACAGCGGATCCAAATCATCATAGGTAATCAGGTAGGACTTTAGATTCTCCTTCCAGAAGCCAATGCATTTCATGCGGTAATCCGGATCACTGTAGATATCAACAGGACGACCCAAGTGATCCACGGACAGGCAGTAGTTTTCATCCACCGCCAGTTCCTTTTGATCAGTATCGCACACCGACAAATCCGAGATATTTTGCTTACAATGGATATCGGGACGGGGACTCAGAGTGACACCGCCAAGAATTCTGAAATGGATGGTGTAAGATATAAGATTTTATTGTAAATATTATTATTGTAGTGCTCCAAAACTAACCTCGTTCTGAAAGGATGCTCCCCTCTCTGCGTAAAGTTAAATTTACCCGCAACGGGACACCGAACGGGCACCGGATTGCGGGCCAAAAAGAGGTCATATTTCCAGGCCTCGGAATTGGGGAACTGAACCCACGAGCAGACCGTACTAAAATCATCCTTGATCACGGCCAATCCCTTGCGGTAGCGAATGATGTTATGATGGCGGGGCATAAAGTCAAAACACACGTAATCCTTTTGGCAACCATCGACGGTGAGGCGCGCCATCATGACACGGTTACCACGACGCTCCCGGCACACATAGATCGTCTTACGGTAGCGGGCCTTGTCCGGATAGTATGTCTCGTTGATGTGCGTCTCACTGATCGAGACATCGGCGTCAATGTTGGCCGTGTTCACCCACTCGCCGCTGAAGTTCTGGGGCAGCGTGCAGCCTGGCTCCACGAACTCCGCCTTTACGGGCGTCAGCTTGAGACGCTCGGGCGAGGTTTCTGGCGTTTTCAGAGTATTGCACTCGGCCGTAATGGAAACGCCCACGTACAGATCGTCGTCTCGATTCTTAAGGAAGCATCGGTACTTCTCGTCCTTGCGCGACTCCTTTGTATTGGCCACGGCAAAGTAGTGATTCTTGCCCACAAACCAATCTCCCAGGCAGCTGAACTCCACGGTACCGGTAAATGTGCCCTCCATGCCCTCGCACTGCTGGTAGGTGACGTTAAACTTCTGGTTCTGGATGAGGAACTGGGTGCCCGCTGTTTGGCAGGACTGAATGCGAGCGTCTGGCTTGTCGCACACTCCAGTGAAGCGGAAACGGTTCTATAAAAATACAAAATTCGGACTTGGTCAATTATATTGTACATTAATTGATTTTGTGGTTTTAATCTAACGAGTCTAGAAAATTACAAAAGATTTATCTTTGATTTGCTTTACTTATTTGATTTTTATGCATTAAATGATTTAAGCGATACGGTTTTTGAAACAGGAAACATTAGATGCCCAAGATGTGGATAATTTGGGCTAAGGTAAGGTGGGGAACAAATGATTTGATAAACAAATGTATATTAGAGAGAGTTGGAGCTCTCTTAAGCATTAAAATTATAAAAATACACAAGCTTTTTCTCCTGGCCAAACTCACCTGGTAGGTGAAGTGCCAGACGCCCTCCAGCGAGGAGCGGCAGTTGATGGGCACGAAGTTCTCGTTGAAGAGCGTGATCAGCTGCTGGTCGTCCTTGACGCCGCGGCACACATAGTCGACGGTGGGCTCCTGGCCAGCGGGTATGCCCACGCAGGGGCCCTCGAACTTCTCGAACACGTTCAGGGTGCGGATGATGGTGCGGACGCAGTGGTAGCAGTCCTTGGAGCGCTCCTTGAAGACGAACGAGTACTCGTCGCCCTTGTGGCGCATGTAGTTGATGCAGTAGCCCCTGCTGGACATCGAGGTGGCGTCGATCACCGTCAGCGTGGGCAGGCCCGTCTCCCACGAGAACCACGATCCCTGCAGAATCTTCGGTATGATGCAGTTGTCGTGCTGTATTTGATTGTACTGGCCAAGAGCTGGAAATAGACAAGTGTGAGTTTCGGGTGGCCAATTCCCATGATTCACTTGAAGCCTTGGGTGTGGCTTGTAAATCTAATCACTGACCTGAGCCCATGATGCTCGCCAGGCACATTGCGGCCAAATAATAATGCATTGTGTGTTAAGTGTCTTTAGACCTAGCAGCTTAACATAGTTTGTTGTCTCCCACCAACTTGTTTAAGCAATTAAAAGCGGTTTTATTTTTAAACAATTGCAAAACACGCAACAAACACAAGTTACCAATAGCCCAAGCCGACTTTCGCAACACTGAAACTCCATAGGAGCGGCAACTTACAACACTGATTAACATCTTATTGTGTTAATCGATTATAATCGATATATCAATACATTAATGATTGTTTTATTTTTAAACGGTGGCAATTTTCCGAATGGCTTTCTGTTTTTTTAAACAAATATTTTTTGTATATAACATATATATATTTATTCATTTTAATTGGTCTCCAGGATTGATTTATGACTCCCTAATTTAAAAATTTTTCTTCCCCTGGAATTCGCTCCTCGACTGACTCACTAATTTCCTTTCCTTCATTAAAAAAACATTTTTATGCTAACTCCCTAATAAAAATAAAAACTAAATATTAATATCAATAAATAGTTTTAAAATAATTAATAAACAAATGTGTTGTAATTTTATATTTTTATTTTAATTATTTGTAATTCTGGTTTGACTAATATTAGGTTCTTTTCTGAGGGGTTTTTATTTTTAAATTTAATAATAAATTAAATTAGTAAATTTAGTATAATAGTCCACTATAGCGTTCATTCTGCTAATTTATTGTAAAAGTTGATTGATTTTACCAACGAAAATTTGTTTTGATTATATTAATAGATTTTAATTCTCCCTCTATCATCTTACGACAGAAAACCAGACAACAAAGAGCTGTAAAAGATTAACCCTACCAAAAGACTATATTATTTATTAAGAAAGCTGATGTAATTATGATGATGTAATTAATACTTAATTTTTGACGAAGTTTCAAAATTTGGTATATTTCATAACATATTTGTTGTCGAGTTAATGTCAATGGAAAAATATTATTTAATCTTTATGGCAATATTACAATGTTTCAAAATAAAAGCATAACTTTTTAGTTATTTACAAAAAATAGAACTGAAATATGTTGCTATAGAACCCATGCATGTCCTAAAAGAAAATAGTTTTGATGGTTTTACCACCGAAAACCACTTTGGTGATGGAGGGTTAACATCGTCTGGAACAGCAGAAACGAGAACATCGACCCAAGCACAAACGCCCCCGCAATTAATCACCCGTCTGCAGTTTGGACCATTTCGTCACTTGTTCCGAATTGGCACAAGTGGATTTTCGCAAGTGGCTCAGTTAATCGGGTGATTGGGTGGTGCGATTATGATCTTCGGCCAGATAGGCCAGCAATGTGATTCACATGCTCGGAGTTCCTAAGCTGCTTATATAGTCCGTCTTGAACTTTGGAGTCCCATACAAGTAGGGATGGCGTGTCTGCTGATAAGTACGGCGAAGCGTCTAGGTGCAGGGTGCTCCATCCGCGCCTTATCAGATGGCAAAGGTCAGCTTCGGTGCCGAGCATGATCAGACCGCCCGAATCGGCGAGCAAGTCTATATGGGAGCAGCTCGATCGGAGGCCTGCCAGTATCAATTGAGCCGGTGCCAGCAACAGTTCACACAGCGATTTCAATTCCCATTCCGATTTCCCAGTAAATCCACACAAATGGGTTAGTGACACGCGCTGTTTTGGGAAGATTATTCATTCCACTAACTTTTCGATCCAATTGAATACCACGTAGCAACTGCAACCAGCGGCAGTGGACTCCATCTGGAGGCCATCGATCGCATTGGATCCATTCCCCTGGTGGAATCTAGTGTGAAGCGAGTGGAGACCATCTACGACAGGGTCAAGAACAACAATAGGCTCTTCTCGTGGTACTTTGAGACCGCCGAGGCCACCATCTCCGCGGCCTACGACACCGTCCAGCCGGCGGTGAAGCTCTTCGAACCCTCCATTCGCCGCCTGGACAATGTGATGTGCAAGAGCCTGGACATCCTGGAGCAGCGTATACCGCTGGTCTATCTGCCGCCCGAAATGGTAAGTAGGCGACCCCCGGCCACTGTCCCCCATTCGCTGACAAAAGGGCATCATCCTCTGTTTGAAGATGTACTGGAACACCAAGGAGTACATGTCGGACCATCTGGTGCGTCCGGTTCTGAAGCGGGCCGACTCTGTCAAGCAGATCGGGACTGCGGTGCTGGAGAGTCCGCTGACCACCTACGCCGCCGATCGCATTGATGGCGCCTTCACAGCCGGCGATAAGTTTGTGGACAAGTATCTGGTGCCCATTAGCACGGATCAGGATCAAACCGATGGTGAGTTCCAGGGGTTACCATTAAAAAAAAGGGGATTAGGGTGGCTCCAAATTTTAGAAACCAAAACTAAACTATGAGACCACATTTCTCAAAAAAAAAGTGTTTTAAACTGTAGTAATGTTTTTTGGAACTCTCACATTTATATATATTTTAAATTATTCAAAATTATTGTAGTTCAAAAATTGCTTTCGACCCTGGATGGTCATACATCGTCGATTCGACTGCAGTTAACGCGAATGTTTGGCCAAAAAAGTTAGTATGATAAACTACATTTTTATTAATTTAAAATTAACTTTTTTTTTGACAATTCAATGAAGTCCAGTAAGAGCTAAAAGAGCATAGTAATGAATTTTAGCTGCAAACTAGAAAACTTAAGAAAAAAATACCTCAACAGTACTAATTATAAAAAATAAATTTTAAATTTATTTTACAAAAAGCACGCTTATATTTAAACTAAACATTTAAAAAGGTCAAAAATCGGAATGAAACAAAAGCAAACAATTTTGAAAGTCAGCCTCCAGGCAATTCGATTGGTGCTAAGGTGCAATCATCTCATAGTTTATTTTTAAATGGCGTCGTCGTCGACGAGGTTATCACTGGGAACTGCGAATTCATTTGAATCCGCGGATAGAGAAAGTCGCGATAAGGAATGGCCGGGATCCGCCGAGATCCGCTCTGGCGGCCATACAAAAAACACAAAAATCAAATTCGCATGGAGATGGGCGCACTCACTTATTCCGAATATCCGCTTTGCAGCTCCGCAGGAGGATGATAACGAGGCGGCGGTACCGGACGAACGGGGCGCCCTCAAGGCGATCCATCACGGTCAACGATTCTCCCGCAAGCTGAAGCGCCGCCTCACCCAAAGAACCATCGCAGAGGCGCGGGCCCTGAAGAAACAGAGCAAGGAGGCCATCCATGTGCTCTTCTATGCCGCCGAGCTGGTCAGTATATCTTCCAAATTGACAAGAACTACTCACAACACTCATACCTATTAGTTTTAAGCCTTTCAATTTATACAAGCTTTACTATCTAGTAAACTAAAGAATTCGCGCCTGATCTCTAGATCTACAAATTTCTGTAAATAATCAATTTTTTGTTATCTTTTTGATGCAAACAATCTTAATAGCTGAAGAGTCATATGTTATAGACATTAAATCAATCATTTTTTTGTTCATAGTAGAATGAAACCTAAGTAAAATCATTACATAATTAAAAAAGTACCCTTTTCTAATATCTAAAAATCAAAAATTTAAAAGCAAAGACAGATCAAATTTGTTAATTGTATGTAAGCTTTAAACGTATGTTTTATAAGCTATTATCAAATTTAGATAATATAGACTACTTCTAATTTGGTTAACCATAAAGCAACAAAACTCAAAAGAAAACACAAACACTTTGGTTTTTAACACAAATAGAGAATGTTTTCATGCTTCCCATCTGAATAATAATATGTGATAAAGCCTCAAGTGACCCATTCCTAAATCAAATTGCCCTTACAGATTGCCACCGATCCCAAGCAGGCCGTTCAGAAGGCCAAGGAACTGTGGATTTATCTCAGTGCGGATGAGCCCGAGAATCAGGCCAGACCCGCCACCCTGGAGCAGTTGATAGTGCTCCTCACCCGTGAATCGGCCAGACGAGTGGTGCATTTGGTGAATTTCAGTGCCCATGTGGCAGCCAACATACCCAGGTTGGTTCACAGCATAACAAGTTCATACTATTTCAAAATTAACCACACCTAATCCTGATAGAAACCTGGCGCACACGACCACAGAGGTGGCGCACCAAATCGTGTACATCAACAACCGCATAATCACAATTTCCCGACTGGACAAGGTGAAGACCATGTCCAAGGAGGAAGCGGAATCTCTCTTCAAGCGCATGCTGGCGTTCTATGGCAGTCTGCAAGGACTGACTAACACCTACCTGGTAAGCATATCATTTATCGATTCAATTAAACTGGATATAATCTAATGTATGTCATAGGAACGCGTGGCAAGCTTTCTATCCGGACGCATGGAAGCCGAGAAGGTGACGGGCAGCGACAGCGCCAATTCCAATCACAGATCCTCGCGGAGGAGGCAGGAGCCGAATCATTATCCAGCCGCCCACAATAACATCAACGGCGTCTACTAGCATTGAATTCTTTATTGCTATCGTATTCTTATTTCTTATGATAGAGCTCTGTTTCTCCGTACATATACGCACAATTCACTAAACAATATTGTATAACTTTTTTTTACAAAACGCATTTACCAATAATATAAGCCCAACATCAATTATGACCACTCTTTTTATTCTAAGCAGAGTCTTGACAAGTACACAAAATATATCTTTAAATGTTAGCTTATGTGATTTTAATCGAAATCAATGCTTTCCTATTGCCTGTAAGCAGAAATTGAGATGCGTCTGGATTATAAAGCTCTGCCAACGGCACAAATTTGTTGTTCAAATAGTCATTTACAGACGAAACGTACTTTTTAGTGAAGTCCAGACTTTTCTTGCTATATTATTCTTTAGATGGTTTAGCACCTGACATTCGAGTTCTTGCAGCGGCCCAACAATTCAATTTCGGGAGCCTATTAAAGCAAATAGTCATTCGTTTCTATTAAACTAAAATCCTGATGATGATTGTTGGCGAAATATGGACCTTGTTTGTGATAAAACAGGCACAGCTGGGTATTAAATCCTTTTCAAGATCACCATCCGTGACCATCAAAACTATGTCCATGCTAAATTTACCAACAGTTTAGTGGTACTGTGAAGCGTAAGGAAGTTTTTATTGAAAATGGTAAGCGAAGTCAACGTAGAACAATGAGTGTGCCTTGTTCACCTCATTGTCTTTTAAAGTGAATAGAATAAAGGCGGCGGTCACAAAGATACTTAGTATACACTTTACTCTTAAGTAGTCAGCAGTCACTATAGCACTTTTAGTAATTATTTTAGATATCTTTGCTAATTAAGCTTAAAATAAGTTTGATCATTTACCTAATTTAACGAATTTTGGTGGTTTGTCCTAGAGTCTTTAAGATAAATTGATAGAAAACGGACTAAAGATTGCAATCCTTCAACAAGTAATAAGATCTGGACTCAATTTACTTAATGAAGTTTGCTTTGTAATACCTGAGCTCGCTGATGCTCTCGAGAATGTCATCCAGGCTGCGATGGGCGAAGGTCTTCTTGGGAGCAGCTTTGAGCACGTCGGGACGCCACCGCCTGGCCAACTCCTTGATGGTGGACACGTCGATGATGCGGTAATGCAAATACTCATCCACGGATGGCATAAATCTCCTGATGAACAGTCGATCCATGTACACAGAGTTGCCGGCAAGGGGACAGACTCGCCTTGGGATGTTGCTCTCGAGATAGGACAGCAGCAGATCGGAGGCCTGTTCGGGCAACACATCCGAGCTCCTGCAGCGATCCACCAGCCCAGACTCGTAGTGGTGCTTCATGCACCACTCGTTCATGTTGTCGTACACCTCCTGCGGATGTTTGATGGCAAAGCAGGGTCCCTCGGACTTCAAGTTCAAGTCCTTGTCCGTGATGAGGCAAGCCACCTCTAGGATTTTGTCCTTTTCTATGTCTAACCCGCTCATCTCCAGATCCATCCACACGATGTCCGTGTCCAAGCCACAAACATTCTGAGTGCTGCTCATTCTTCTTTTTGAACGGAAACTGGGGGAGCACTGTGTTTTCGGGATCCGACGACATACAAACAATCCCAAACGCTGCAGTTGAGGGAGCATTAGTTTCTTTTCCTCAAGAGTTTGATCACGTATAATAAGGCGGCTGTTCGATAACTGTTTGATAAGAATAACATGTGCAGGTCCCTACTGCATTTTCCAACACTAGAGGTTAGAAAGTAGGGGGACTCGCGAAATTACACACAGGTAATCCAATTACGTCTCTGTTATTACAAATTATATTTATAAGTACTTTTGTCAAAAACGAGATTTTAAATTGTTTAGTTTTTTTTTTGTCGAGATGTTATGTTGACTAAAGTTATATTTGATTAATGTAAATACAAATAGAAGAACAATATATTAGCTAAATAAACTAATAGGAAGGTTCGTGAAAATATACAAAGGTTTATACAAAACTTCTTACCTCATAAAATGTTTATTAATCGTTTAGTTATTCTCGTTGATTTGTAATGTTTAATAAAGCAAAAATTAATTTAATACAACCGAAATTTGTTTATTAAAATATTTATTTTGTTTTAATGGAATATTGTCCCGAATGTGTTAAATTTTAGAAACAAAAAAACCATTTAACGCACTTTTTAGAAATACTTTCAGGAATACCTAAATTGTCTTAAATTTAACACACCTGTTAGATATACTGTTACTTATAGTGGCAACGATTTTAGTTGGAACCAATAGAGATTTAGCGTTTTGGTGTTTCCTCTTAATAGAAGTTGATAAACCAATTGCTTTGTTGAACGTCTTAAATATTATAATAATATAAATATATTGTCTCGAATTTGTAAAGTTTAATAAACTAAAATATTATTAAATTCACCTTTTAAAAATACTGTTACTTATAAAATAGGCAAATTGTGACAAAGACTTTAGTTGGAGTCACTTGAGATTAAGTGATTTGGTGTTTCAGAAAAAATCTGCCAAGGTCACACTTTTGACCCAATAACGGCACCTTCCAACACTGCACTGGTACAGACCTTGCATTTTTATCAAAAAATTATTGGTGGGGAAAAGAAAACGCAAAAGCGTTGCCATTGTCGCAGCATGTCCTCCTCATCCGCCAGAGACCAGCCGGGCACTTCCCGGGAGACATTCGAGGACTTCTACACAGAAGTAAGTGTGGCGGGCGAAACCGCAGGCTCCGTTTCAGACTGAGACTGAATCCGAGTCTGGCTCCTCCCATTTGGAGCCGCTCTAACAAAACTAAACTTTTATTATTATTTACACTTGAGTAAACGATTTTGTGCCTATATTGCAGGTGAAAGAAATTGAAAAACGTGATTCAGTTTTAACTCCTTCTCAACAAATTGATCGTTTACTTCGTCCAGGTTCAACGTACTTCAATCTCAATCCGTTTGAGGTGCTCCAAATCGAGCCCGACGTCGAGGTGGCGGACATTAAAAAGCGCTACCGCACCTTGTCGATCCTCGTCCATCCAGATAAAAATCCCGACAACCAGGAGCGCGCTCAAATGGCATTCGATATTGTGTCGCGTTCCTGGAAGATCCTGGAGAACGAACTCACGCGCAAGAGGTGTCTGGAGGTGTACGAGGAAGCCAAGGGGCGAACGGATCAAATGGTGAGTCCTAAATCGCCATAAATTGCCATATAGTTCGCCGGTGCGGAGCGCCTTGTCGGCAAGCTTAGTATAGCAATCCAGTGGAGAGATGTAAATCTCTGTGGGAGGTTCCTAGATCTAAATTCTATTTCGGTTCACAAATTGAATGAATAGCCCTTTCGTCAGTTCATTTTGAACAAGAAAGGAAGAATTGATTAGTTAATCAAGTTTCATGATATAATCGCTCGTTTTAAGACAATTCAAACGATTATCTAAAACAAACGTGTAATGGAAATTAACGCCGGTCAATGATAAACATAAATAAAAGGTTATCAAAAAGATTACAAAAATAATATTGTGAAACAGTAACATTAGACAGATGGTGATCAAAAATATATTTTCTTTATAGGGTCTCGCTTTACAAAGGTATAAAAATAGATTAATTTTGTGTAAGGCTAGATAGATTAGTGGCATGCATTGGCACAAATAAAAATCAAACTATTAGGAGATTTGTACTTATAAACAATTATTTTACATTACATTTTTGTTATGCTTTCCAGATTGCTGAAAAGCGAAAAAAGCTCAAAAAAGAGGGTCGGCCCACTGAGCCAATACCCGAGGACGATCCCACCAAGTACAAGCACGCCATCTACGTGATGGTCATGAAGCTGTTCGCCGACATGGAGCGCCGGCGGCAAAAGCTCGATCAGCGCGACCAGGAGGAGCGCAAGCGGAAGCGCGAGACGGAGATCGAGGAGGAGGAGCGTGTGAAGGCGGACCGCGAGTGGCAGCAGAACTTCGAGGAGTCGCGCCAGAGCCGCGTGAACAGTTGGCATGACTTCCAGTCGGGCGCCGGCAAGTCGAAGAAGGCCAAGAAACAGAAGCATATGACCGGCATGATGGTGCCGCCGAAATTCAAGCCAGAGTCGCGATAATATTGCTTCCCAGCGCGGCGCCGCACCTTCACTATCGCCAGACCACCTCCGCCTCCCCGCGTCGCGTTGCGTTGCACATAAATATTTTTACATTTTTTTATATAAGTATCCTTTGGAATTGTAATTGACACGTGCATAATGTATAGATGTAAGAAATCACATTTCTGTCCTGTCTTTCCTCTCTCGGCAACGATGGCTTGGCCAGCACCTTGGACTACATTTCCGTGTACAGGGAGGCGGTGAACACAATGTCGCGCTTGATGGCCGCCGATGCCTCCTCCATCTTGGACTGCAGTCCAGGATTGCCGATTCGTATGGCGGCCGTTTTCACGTCTCGCAGCGTTTCGTCCAGCTGCTGAATGCATCGCACAATGATGCCCTCTTGCACCTCGGTGAGCTTCATAATCTCAGCAAATGGCTGTGGATAAGATTAAGTAGTTATGGGCCATAAATTATGAATCAAATAGGGGCTTTCCTACCTTGTTCCTGGCCCACTCGTAGACCACCTCGAGCAGGCCGAAATTGAGACGATTTTCAGCCTCAATGGCAGCCTGGAAGCGCTGCTCCTCGGCCAGAATTGTGTCGTTGATCTGCTCAAATGCCGCCACGCACTTCTTCAGCGGCTCTGGTATGACCGGTTCGCCTTGGATCTTTGCCTGGAAGACGAGGCCAGAGAGCAGGGCGGCAATCTCAGCCGGCTCGAGATCATTGAACATGTTGCACAGAATGAGCTCCGTGATCAGCAGCTCGTTCTGACCCATCTCGCAGGCCACCTTGCCCTTGAGGGTCACCTCTTCCAGTTCATCTATGTACTTGAGGGCCCGAAGAACCTGCAGCTTGTTGCAGTAGTCCGGATAGAGGGTGAGGTTCTTGGCGGAGTTCTTAAAGCGCAGCTCCTCGATGTGGATCTCCAGCATACGCCGCTCGTAGACCTTGGCAAACTCCTGCTCGAAGCCGGCAATGTTGGTATGCGGCAGCAAGTCGCCCACCTGGCGGAGCAGATGCTCCACATAGTTGAGCGTGGCCACCTCGCTGTCCGCGTTAACGTTGATCTCCTTGGACAGGTTCACGTACTTGATGTTCTCCGAACTGGCAGTGTAGCTCTCGTTCAGCTGGTGCAGTTCGGTCACAGCTTTGACCACGGTTCCACCGGGCGGTGTGTCCTTGAAGCGTTCCAACTGCCGCTGCTCCCAATTCCGGATAATCACATCTGCGTCGACTTTCAACGAGTTCTTGGTGATGCTAATGATGTCCATGGCCTTGATGTCCAGCACCGTGTGCCCACCAATGCCCTCTGGCTGAAATGTTTTGTTCTGCGGCGTCAGAGAGAGTATTTTGTAGTAGAGCTCGCCTCGCTGGAGGCTGTCGCTCTCCTTGGCCTTGAACTGGTGGTCCAGCACCAGCACCTTATAGACGGTATCCTTGCCTGGGACGGATTTGGCATTGAGTAGAACGGCCAGCTTGTTGTAGTGTTTGCCCTGGGTGATGACGATGACGCGGCCCACCTTTAGCTCCTTTTGGATCTTGGCCTGGGTTACAATGAATTTCTGAAAGGAACAGACGAGTTAGGAACAGGCGAGAAATGTGCTTGTGCTCGAATGAGGACCCACCATGATGCGATGCTTCTCCTTCCAGTACTCCACGGCCTTGTCGTAGAAGTTGACCAGCGGCTGCAGGTGCTCGCCGAGCGTTGGCAGCATGGCGAACTTGTCCTCTGCCAGGCGCAGCTGCTTCTGCTGTGTGGGCAACTGGAGCTTCTGGTTGAACTCCTTGAAGCTGAACTGCATGATGTCCTCCACTTTGATGCTCTCGATGCGCAGGCAGGTGAGGATCACCGCATAGCGCAGGATGAATTGCGACTGCAGCTTCTCGGGCAGGCCGAGGATCATCGGCCGCAACTCCATCGACGGCGGCACATTGCCCTTGCACAGCAGGATCACCGTGCCCGTCTCGTCATGCCCACGCCTTCCTGCCCTTCCGGCCATTTGAATGTACTCCCCCGGCTTGAGGTTTCGCATCTCAAGGCCGTCGAATTTCTTGCAGGAATCGAAGACCACCGTGCGAGCGGGCATGTTGACGCCCATGGCAAAGGTTTCGGTGGCGAAGAGCAACTTCACCAGACCATTCTGGAAGAGCATCTCAACGATCTCTTTGAGAATGGGCAGGATGCCGCTGTGGTGCACCCCAATGCCCCGCTCCAAGGCGTCCTTGAGCACGAGCACCTGCGGAATAGTGCGATCCGGGGGCTTCAGCTTTGCCAGGCACTGCAGGAAGAACTTCTGCACTGCACCCTTCTCCTTTTCCGTATTGAGATCCACCGACTGCAGAGCGGCCACATTGGAGTCGCATCGATTCCGGGACAGCGTAAAGGCCACCACGGGCATCTTGTTGTTGCGCCGCAGAAAGTCAATTAGTCCGATCCAAGTGTACTGCTCCTGCTTGGCATTCACATAGTTCTTGGGACCGCCGCCGCCCTTGGCCTTGCCCTGCATCTCCTTTTTGCGCTCCACGGCCCTCTCGTAGTTGGCCTGCAGGTATTTGCCCTGGGCGTCCACCAGCAGGAAGATGTCGTCGCGGCTCTTGCCCCCGGCACCAGTGTAAAGGAAGTGCGTCAGTGGCACTGGTCTCTTCAGCGTACTGATCACATACACCTTCCGCTTCTTGGTGCTGCCAACCCAGTCCGCCAATTCCATGGTGTTCGGCACCGTTGCGCTCAGCATTATGATATTGACATGATCTGGCAGAAGGATGATCACCTCCTCCCAGACGTGGCCTCTCTCGGGGTTGTTGATGTAGTGTACCTCGTCGAAGATCACCCACTCCAGATCGCGGGTGACTTCGCTGCCGCAGTACAGCATGGAGCGCAGGATCTCGGTGGTCATGATCAGACAGGAGGCGGTGGGCTCGATCTGCAGGTCACCCGTGATCAGACCCACGTCCTTGAAGGTCTTGCGGAAGTCGCGGTACTTCTGGTTGGACAGCGCCTTGATCGGCGACGTGTATATGGTGCGGGTGAGATCCCGCTTGGACAAGGCGATGGCGTATTCCGCCACCACGGTCTTGCCGGCGGAGGTGTGGGCCGCCACAAAGACGTACTGACGCTGCTCCAGCTTGAGGATGGCCTGCTTCTGGAAGACGTCCAGCTCGAAGGGGAACTCCATGGCCGGGCAGGGTATCTGCTCCTTGAAGTCCTTGATCGGCTGGCTGATGTCCACCATCTCGGCCCAGTCGCTCTTGAAGCTCTTCGTGGTGGTGGAGATGTTGAGCACTGGCTTGAGATCTGCCTTCATGATCTGATCGTCCACGTCTTGGAACTCCTCCGTGGGAAATGCCGGTTTCCGCTGGCTGGGATTCTGAGTGCCGCCAGAGGTGCTTGTTTCATCCTCCGTGCGCGTAAGTTTCATCCACTCCTGAACGTCCAGGTCCTGCTCCAGGTTCTCCAGCAAGTCCACGTTGCTGGGATCGGCAACCACAGAGGGTAGCGACACAGACTGCGACTGGGAGAAGTCATGGCCCGATGAGAAGCCTGGCGGCACCGTCAGCAGCTTGTCCCCGAACTGAAAGTTGTCCACATCGAGGGCGGCAATCTGCTGCCGCTGCTCGTCAAATCCGCCCGGCCAGAACGGAAAGTTGGAGTGGGAGCCTCGCGTCGCCTCCTCCAGCAGTCCCGGTTCCCGCTGCATGGACATCGAGTTGTTGGCATTGGCGCCCACCTCCTCCAGGTCCACTTCCACGAATTGCAGTATCTGGCCGCTCTGATTCCGGCGTGGAACCAGTTTGGTGCTCCCGGGGCAGCGGGGAACATGCAACAGGCGCTTAGCATCGAATTGACGCGGCAAAATATCCGGCATTGGATCGTGGAGTGACAGCTCCGGACGCAGGATATAGTTGCGCAGCCTCTCCAGGTTATCCTCGCCCCTAATCTCACTCATTGTAATCGTTAGTTCCTGGCAAAAAACAGTTTGTTTAGCATTTGCCAAAGGACAAGCAAAAAGACAACAAAAGAGTGGCGATACCTTTTCGATAGACTGGTCACCTTAAAAGTTGAGAATCAGTTGCGTTCCGAATTCCACCTAATGTGTGGTGAAATTAAAATGTTTTGACAATTTCTCAACATAAGAGTAAATTTAAATTATGAAATAAAAAAGTCTTTCATTTGCATTAAGAGCGAGGACTACAAGAATTCTTACATATTTTAGATAACAAAAAAAAAGGGACATATGATCATTTTGCAATATTATTTAAATATTTAAAATTGTAAAAAAATTTGATCATCCAATTTTTAGTAATAAAACCGCACTATTTAAAAATGTATTAAGCAAAACTAGTTATTGATTTAACTTGAGTTAAATGTGCAACACGCAAGGTTCGGAAACAACTGACTGAATATATATATGAAAAACATAAGTTGATAATAATATATTTGTACAAAAGAGTAAAACCGGTGATGAAAATTCGTCACGTAACTGACAGCTGATCTCCGCAGCTGTTGCTCATCTCTAATGCACTGTTAAAATAAATGGCACACTGTTAAGAATCAGGTTTTCCACACGGAATACAAATGAGTCTGGCTACTTTCGACGGAACACCTCGACCTTGAGGGGGTGGCACTTGTCGTCCGGCACCTCGGCGCCCACCTGAATGGAAACATCGCCCTGCGGACAGGCGCACAGAGCCACCAGCAGATCCATGTCGGCCACGAACTCAATGAAATCACCCTTGCGGGCAGGACTCGGCTTGCAGAAGTACTGATGCGTGTCCCGGGTGAATCCGGTGCACATGAATATGTTCCACACGTCGTGCACGTCCTGCTCCGTCAGTCCGCGCTCCTCCATCACCGCCTTGACCAGGGAACTGTGGCAGCTGCCCACCCGATCCTTGCCCGTGATCAGCTTGTAGGTGTAGTCGTCGCACCGAGTTCCGATCACATCGTGCAGAGCTCCTCCGTCCTCATCGATCCCATAGTTGGCCAGGGAGTCGAACACGAAGGTGGCCATGGGACGCAGGTGGGGCAGGCAGCTCCACAGACGATCGTAGACGCGCAAATGCGACGAGTGCAACTGCCGTGTCTTTCCCGAGTAGAAGCGCTCGGCTGTGTTCTCAAGGTTCCAGAAGTTCATGTCGCCCACCTGGGCGCCCTCGTGGACGGTCACTCGGCAGAGGTCGCCCGCCTGCATCGTCCAGGTGCGGGCCTCCCGCTTGGGCACCACCAAGGTCTCCACCAGATCCCCAGTCAGAGCCTGGTAGCGCTTGTCCTGAAGTCTCCCCAAATGATTAGTTAAATGACGGTATTTTATAAGAGTAATCTACAGAGAAATTTAAGCTTAAAACTTGAGGTTTATCATCTAATGAGAATTGACTCTATTTAATCAATTGTATATCAAGATCTTTTAAATTGTTTTAAGAGCCAGAGACCCAAGAAAAAATGCTTGTACTTCTCTAAAGATTACTTAACGCCTTAACGATTAATGAAGAAAGTTAAAGGAGTAGCCAACTTACATCGTATTCTTCTTTGGAAACAATTGATGCCTCTGGCTTATCATAGCAGACCACTGGCGAGTGCTTCTCAAATGTGCGGGGTTTGGCACCGCGTCCACACCAGGAAGCCGGAGCAGCAGGTGTTTCAATTGTAGCAGAGGAAGCCATGCCTTCAAAGAATACTTCATGACTGGAGGCAACAGGTGGGCAAGCATTCACACTTACCTTTTCCAGAGCCTTAATACGTTGTGGTTTTATCAGTGAGCGAACGCAAACTGATCTAGCTTTATATATAAATTTTATATATAGACGGAGGTTAGTTTCTGGCAGAGCTTTCGATAGGCACAGCTTTACTTTATCGGCTTTGAAATGATTAGAACACACTTTTATCGTTGTTAAAACAGTTTATTTATTATTTATACCGAGAGTGATCAAAAAGTAATTATGAAAACAAATCAACAAAATCTATCATTTTTCTGGCATGGTCTCTTTTTTATGACGAAACGTTTCTAACTATTAAGCAATCACACATACATGATGCCGTTCTCGAACCTATTCTACAGCTGGCTTTCTTTCGTGTGCGAGGGAGATGCTAATCAATTGATTATACCTAAGTTAATTCGAACCTAAACTAGAAAGTGTATCTTGAAGCGTTTAGCAGCTCCTATGTCTCCATCATGGTGGGCTGCTGCTGCTGCTGCTGCTTTTGCTGCTGCTCCTGCTGGCTACGCGGCGGCTCGTTCTCGATCTTCTCCAGCAGTTCCTCCAACCAAATGCGCAGCTCCTTCGAGGAGAACTCCTGCGGCAGCGGAAGTCGCTCCAGCGCCACTTTCAAAACAGACGATGTTTCCATCTCGGGACAGACAATGCACAAGCCGCGCACCAGGCAGCTGAGACTCTGTGAGATCTCACTCTGGCAGAGACGGTGTTTGGAGGTGGGACACGGTAGGAGGCCGATGCGCGAGCAGAGTTCGCTTAGCTGCGGCTTCAGGTTCTCCCAGCGCGCATTGATGTCGGCAATGTTGGTCACATTACGGATTTGATTGAACTTGGCACTGATGTCGATAAAGTCCAGGAATATCTGGCCCTGGTTGGCCCAGTTGGGCACCCGGATGCTGCTGCCCTCTGTGTCCTCGAACTGAATGAGCAGGTTGTGCAGATAATTCAATTTCCCTGGAGAAGCACAAAATCCAACATGTTAAATTGAAAAATTGAAATTTTGCCAGCAAACCTACCGTTTATGATGGCATGCGGTGCAATGTATTGGAATATGACCTCGTGCGCCGGTGCAAAATGTTTGGCCTTCAGCAAGTACTTGGCCTGAAGGTGACGCATTCCAGAGGCACCGGCCTTCACCGCCTTCGCATAGTCCACCCAAGACATCGGAACACCCAACTCCTCGACGACAAATCGCTCCTCCGCATTCAGTGGCACCTTGGCGGACACGCTCACGTTCCGCTCGAGCATTTGCTGAACTGCTCGTTCCCTTTGTGGCCGCCGCTTGATGTGCAGCAGCACAAAGATGCTCCAATGCCAGAGACCTTCGTTCTCCAGCTGGCTAGCGAAGTCCACGGAGAGACGAGCCTCCGTTAAGGGAGAACAGTGGCGGTAGCCAAGAGCTCGCAGAGTTTGTAACAGCAGCCAGCTAAAATAAAATAAGAAAGCATTTTATATATTGCACTTGATTGAAGCTAACTTTAAACACACCTTAGACGGAAGTCCATGGGATCGGCGGTATGTGTTATCGGGTTGAGGGTCTCTTCCAGGGAATGCGTTCGCTTCGAGTAAAGCTGGAGCAGGTGGTAGCGCAGGTCGTAAACAGGTTTCTTAGTTTCAGTGGGTGCATCCTTGTAGCTGGGCTTCGGTGGCTCGGCATAGCACTCCTCCGCTTGGAAAGCCTTGTTATAGGCATTAAGGGCATCCGTGATGGTGGAGGTTGGGGCTGTGAAGTACCACAGCTGCATGGCCAGCACTGTCAGCCAGTTGTTGTCCTCCAGCAAATTGATGGCCCCCTGGGAAGACTGCATCATGGGCACTCCGGCGGCCAGCATGTACATCTTCAGGCGCTCCAGGTCGATGTACTTGTCCGATTTGCTCTGCTGCCAGGCATACAGCTGCTCCTCCATCAGCAGCCGGAAAACAGCTCCCGAACTAAGTTGGGCCAGCACGAGGGCCAGGTTGGCGTCATCGTAGTTAAGGGCCAACTCGCAAGCCTCATTTACCCGGTGGCAGCTAAGCAGCTCCAACATGTGCTCAAGATAGCTGTAGCTGCTCACCTTCTTCGAGAGCAGATCCTTTGCCATCAGCGTGTTCTCAAGCCATTCGGATAAAAGATTGCGCCGACACATGACCGTGTAGTGGGAGTTCTTTTCCAGATCCACCAGCTCATCGTGATCGCCCCAGAGCGCGAACAGGAGCGACCACACGGAAACGGCGTACTCCTCTTTCAGGCCAGCGTTCCTCTGCTTCAGCGACTCGGAGAAGTGCTTCGAAACCAGTATGGTTCCGCTTTCGGGCTGTATCCAAGGGCACTCGCTGCCCTCCACCTCAACCGAGATGCAATCGCTCAGCTGAACCTCCAAATGCGACACAATACTCTCGCGAATGCCCTCGTTTCCTTTGACCATGTGAAACTGCACCAGTTGCATCACATTGTGTGACATATCGGTGGCCGAGCGGGGCGCAAAAACCATTGAGGCGGGCAGGGATGGTCCAGTAACTATGAGTAGCCGAAAATGTTATAAAGTTACTCACTTTTGTTTGGAAATTATTCTTACATTCTTTGAGGCTAAGCATGTTGTTGAAGGTGTTGGGCAGAACCAAAGAGTTTTGCGGGCCAAAGCTCAGCTTAAAGCTGCGCCCCTTGTAGAATCCCAAATCGGCGATCCACTTATGGCGCATTTCATGAGCAATGGATCGCGGCAAGGGAACCGTGGTGGCGTGCACCTTAACCGCAGCCACTTTTGGCTTGCACACAAACTTGAAGGCCTTAACGACAGTCGACTCCGCCTTTTTGTCCTTTAGCGGTGCCACAATGCTGCCAGTTGCCACCGAAGAGGTCTGAAAGTTGTGGGTATGATTAAAGTGGTTTGAGGTGAATAGAATTTAATAACGAACCCCCTCGTAGTTGGCATCACACATCAGGCTGGCCTCAGAGACAGAAGAAGAGACTGGCAGGGCAGGCGATGGTTGTCCAAAATCGTACTGACTGGAACACTCGGATGCCCCATCTTTCCAGGCATTGGGTTCTACATTAAAGGATGTACGATGACGAAGATGTCGTCCTGTCGTTTTTAAAGAGAATTTGCCAATTATTTTTAAGTGTAATTTTGTTAATGTATATGTAATGGTATTTTTTTAAACAATGATTTATCTTTGGTTTAAGCAAAATGAAAATGTGTTAATGATACATTCAATTGAATAAGGCTTTAAACTTTATTATTTGTTTAAACGTTTATTTCTTTGTTCAGGAAAATTCAACTAACATTATATCTTAAGAAATATGTAATGTGTTACGAAAGTTTACACTTTGATAGATATCGACAAAGATCTAAAATAATTAACTCTACTCTACTTGAAAGTTAACAATAAATATTTAGCTCAAACCATTAACAACAAAACAAAAAGATCTTCAATAAATATACAAGTTCTACACTGTTAAATATTTTAAATTTATTTACCCATGGGCTCGTCCTCGCTGGCATTATCGTCCACAAAAAGAGACGACTTCATCAGCTGCATTTTGTGCGACTCGTTACCCACCATATGCTGGGCCAAAGCGGCCGTGGGGCTGGTGATGGTTGGTCGATGGCGCGGCGCATCAAACATGGAGAAATCTGTGTTAGCTCCGGCTTGGAAAAATTCTGCGAATCCACATCAGCCGAATTACAACGATTGAAGCTGTAGGTTATATATATATATATATAGGCAGTATATACTTACGTGTCTTGTCCATTAACATAAACTCGGCGGTGTCATCCATTGGCCGGAATCCGCTGGCCACTCCAGCGACCAAAGACTTGGGATCCAGGTTACGAGCTGCATCCTCCGAAATCTTCTGCGCCTGGCGAAGCGAGGTAAGTGTCATTTTCTCAGCGGTTGCCCTTTGCTGGGCCTCAAGCGCCGCCATTTTGGCCTTCTTCGGATCGGTGGGCACGTCGTCCTCCTCGTCACTGTCGCCCAGCCCGTATTTGGAGAAGTGCTTGACGCGGAAGACCCAGCTGCCCGTTTCCGGACGGTACTCAATGAAGCGCGTATCGTTCTTGTCACACACCCGACGCAGCTTGCCCTCCCAGTCCATGTCGAGCAGGCGTTGCGGTTCCTTTATGGCCTCGTGCTTGGTCTTGTCCAGCGGCCACACCTGGTCTAGGGTGACCTGCGCGTCACGGTTCAACCCATGGCCAATGGACGGCTTGTTGTCGTCGTCAGGGTAAATAATAACCTCCTTGTTGCGAAAGTGAACTAAAAAAGATGGTGATAAAACTGTAGGATACTAAAAGATAATAAAATACTCAAGTAGACTCTTACCGATCTCATCGAGATTCAGACCAGCCACATCCATCTCCTTGCCGAAGAATACATTGCCGTAGCCCTCGCGACCCACCGTAAAATTGGGTACCACACACGATCCGTCCTCGGCTAAATAGGAGCGCAGGTCATCCAGCGAGGGAATCGTATAGTAACCCACTCGTCGCAACACAATGCCAGTGGGATGGGCCTCGTAGTCTGCCGCCTCTGCAGCTGCCGCCTCGATGGCCAGACGGGATCGGTTCGCCGTACTGTCTTCCGCCTCGTGAGACCTGGTCGAGAGCACGCTCTCGTTGGCCTGATCCGAGGTGAACGTCTCGCGCCGGGCAATTGTGCTAGACTGATCCTCAAACGGGTTCTCCGGTATGGTGGACACTGAGAGGCGAACGGTGGACGAGGGTCGGTATGTGTCCAGTGGCTTGCGTGGCACCAGCTCGTTGACGGTGCTGTTGTGGGGCGATCCCTGATCCATTCCGGTTTGAATGTTGTGCTGGCGCACCTTCTCGAGGTTGTTCGGATGCAGCCACGACTCTCGACGACTGATGTCCTGGCTGTCGCGGCTATCCCTTCCCTTTGGCGCTCCAGGGGAGTTTCCTGCCGGTGGTGGTGGTTCACTAGGAATGACTCCGCCAAAAGATTCGCGTTCTTTGCTGGGAGTTGCCACTTTGGGGCGAGACTGGGGAGTGCTGGGACGACTGCCCATCGAGTTAGAGGGATTTCCGCTCTCCACGTTCTTTACCTTGGGCTTGATAACCAAACGCTTGGCATTGGGCTTCAGATTAAAACCCTCTACAGTCGCATCGAATTCCTCGAGGCCATCGAAAAGTGATTTTCTATTCAGAGTGCTGCCCAGGGCCTTTACCTTTACTGGCGCCGGACTGTCCTTGGTGGCAATCTTATATTGGTTGTTGCTCATGTCCAACACCGCCTGCTGGGCAGCCGGATTTGTGGCCCTGGTTGCGTCTGCCTCGTCGCTGTGCTTCAGATCCTTAAAAATGGGAGAGTCTCCATAGGGTGAAGTGACTCTGGCCAGAATCTGCTGGTGTATGGGCTGGTATGAGGGCGTCATAATACCCACTGTGGGCTGGGCGCCCATGAGTCCTCCGGTTAACGAGTTGTTTGTCCCGACACCGCCAAATCCGCCGCCCAAGGAGCCGCCGACGCCTCCGAAACCACCAGTATTGCCTCCAAAAAGTCCTCCAGTTGGGGCAGCTCCTGTGCCGCCCAAGGTCGTGGTTGCTCCTCCAAAGAGGCTTCCTCCTGGCTTTTGCGCATTTCCGAAAAGCGATCCGCCCGTGTTGCCTGCGTTGAAATTAAGTGGTGCTGCAGTGGTGGCACCAAACCCTCCGAATCCCGATGTTGCCGGCTTGTTCATTCCCGAGTTGAAGAGTCCTCCGCCCGTGGCTGGTGTACTGGCGCTCATACCAAAGCCTGAGAATGGAGCGCTGGCCGTGGAGGTGGCTCCAAAGGCAGGTGCAGCGAAGCTCGTGGCGGGCTTGCTTCCGAAGAGTCCTCCGCCTGCAGTGCTCGTGGCCGGAGCTCCAAATCCAAAACCGGTATTGGCTGCGGGCGCAGCAGTGCCCAGTCCAAAGGCCGATTTATTTGGATCGGTGGCGGGTGTGGTTCCAAATAGCGACGTCTGCGTGGTAGCGCCCGCAGTGGATCCAAAGCCTCCGAATCCAGTGTTCGTCTGTCCGAAAGCAGGAGCGGCACTGGTCGCAGGTGCCTGTCCGAACAGGCTTCCTGTTTGTCCAAAGGCTGGCTTCGCACCGAAGGGATTGGACGCATCTGCTGCCGGGGCGGCGAAGGGCGTGGCGGTGGTGGCTCCAAAGGGCTTTTGCAGGAAGTTGTTTTGCTGTCCAGGTGCCGCGAAGGCGTTGGTAGCCACTGACTGCTGCCCAAAGGCAGTGCTGCCGAACATGCTCTTGTTCTCGGTCACCGCCTGACCGAACAGACCCGTACTCGGCTGCGTCGTGCTGCCAAACAATCCACCGGTTGCCGGTTGAGCGGGCTGCGCCACCTGAGTTCCGAATCCAAAGGCCCCCGGAGCACTGCCCGCCTGTGGACCCTTGCGCCCGCACATATAGTCTTCCAAGCGCAGCTCCTCCAGCGACTTGCCCTCGTACTCCTTCATGGCCGTAATGCAGTGCTGCTTGGTGTTGACATTGTTGGGCTGACCGCTCTTCATCAGGGTATCGGTGCCAAGAGTGGGTTGGTACTTCACTACGGCGGTGCCCGTATTGACTCCAGTGGCTCCCACGGCTGTCGCCTGCGGATGGGCAAAAGCCGAGGCTGTGCCGCTACCAAAGACACTGGTGGTGGTGGGCGCAGTGGTGCCAAAGGATCCGAATCCTGCGGTACTAGTGGCGGCAGCGGGTTGGCCAAACAAAGAGCTAGTTGGCTGGGCGGCAGCTGTCTGTCCAAAGGCCGTCATCGTCGGCTTGGCGTTTGGAGGTGCAAAGGCGTTCAACGTCGACGAGCCAAAGAGCGAGGTGCTTGCTGGCGTCTGGGTGGATCCAAATATGTTCGAGGTTTGCTGCGGTTGCGAGAAGGCTGCAAATAAGGAATAGTCATTCAAGTAACAAGAAACCACTTTAACTGTTCGTTTCTAACCTCCAAATGCCGTGGGCTGCGCTGTGGCGGTGCTTCCGAAAGCAGTGGAAGTGTTGGCCCCAAATAAACCTCCAGCGGGCTGAGCAGGCGTGGCCGCTGCTCCAAAGAGCGACTGCTGCGCCGGCTGGGTGGCGAAGGTTGAGGTGTTCCCGAATGCCGGAGCCGCCGGTTTGCCAAACGCCGACTGCCCAAACGGAGTGGCCGCCGTGGTGCCGCTGAAGCCGCCGAAGCTTGAAGCCGTCGGGGTGGTGCCGAAGCTGGGTTTCGAGCCGCCAAACATGTTGCTCAGTGTCGATGGTCAGATGTCTCACATATACTTGGTAAATCCCCTTTGTCCTCCAAAACGCAAAGTATCGCTATGAGCAATGCTTTGATTTCACCACGTTTGTCAATCTGGTGGCGGCGGGACCTTTTCCAGGTATTGGGGGCGGGCCGGGCTCTGTCAAATACAAATAAATACTCGCGAATTTGCCTTGTCTGCCACAAACAGAGCAAGCCAGACGCAAAAGTGCTCAGAAATGGCGCGCCGATTTTTTCACGATGTGACGAAAATGCAGCCAACAGTGTGACCAGAGTGCGCGAGAGATAGAAAACAATACACTTCAACAAAGAGTGGAAAACTGAAGAAATTTTGTCTGCGTTTGGTTCAAACTTCAAATCACAACAAATTTAAATTTCATTTTTGAACTTTAAATAAGTAGCAACTCGGGTTCGGACATCAAAAATTAAAACGACGCCTCTCAAAACCACCACAATGAAAACATGTGAATATAACAGAAAATGAAAAATAACCCCATTAGGATATCCTTGCTGTAGGTAAATAACATATTTCAGAAGTTGTAACGCAGTAAAGCATACATTTCGGACCCAATAAACAAAGTTCCAAGAACATCGATAGCGTACGAGCACTCGATATATTCGATAGTTATTAGGTACACCATCGATAATATAGATACTATTGACATAAATAATTAGGGTATTCCCTAAAGGAATAATAGCCAGATTCAATTTTTGCATTTAGCTAAATGCTAATGCTATCTGGGATTGTTTACTTATGAATTGTCGGAAATTCAAACTTAATGAATTAAAAATCATAATTATGAGTGAATTTACGAAACTCTTTAATGCTGTGGGAGTCTTTTCCCGCCGGAGATCCAGTATTAACGCATTGTGGTACTAGTAATTTTTGCCAAAAATATAACAACCTGCTATTGTAGTAATGGCAGTAACGAAATATCGTTGGCAATATGTTTCGCAGTTTTTCTAATAAAGTTCGAGGCGAACACCTTTTAGTCGCCTCTATTTATCAAGAAAATTTAAGCAAGAAATTTCCATGTGGGCCTCTTATTTATTAAAATACCGAATTTTTATTACTAAATTTTTGTCACTTTTTTCATTATAAGTAGTCTTTTTTATATAAAGGCTTGTGCGTGTCTTAGCCTTAGGTTTAGCAGCAGAATGTAAAACATTTGCTCAATATGTACATTTGTTTTGTGTCAACATGTGTAATAAATTAAATAAATAGATGAATTAAATATAAAGTACAGTACGCTGTTCCTTGGAAAGATGATGTTAATGGACATAATACTAAAAAAAATAAATAAATTTAAATACTTTGTAATAAAAAACGCGAAGTATCGATGGTTACAAAACCAATCGATGGTGACGCGCAGCACAGCCACCATCGTTAATACCGATACTATCGTCGATGCTTTTTCAGCTCTATGTTTCTCCATCTCTATATCATTCACAACAAACGAACGAAGCGCGCAAGTTCTCTGCCGGAGAGCTCAGTTAATTAAGTGTGAGCCGTGCGCGCCAGAGTGTGTGTGTGCGAGTGCGTGTGCATGTGCAGGAGTGAGAGCCGAGATAATTAGCTGAGCGGCAACGGCCAACTCCCAAATCGAGAACAAAACAAGCGAAAAACAACGCAAAATGCATTAGCAAGCGACAATTGCGCGGAATGCAGGCTTTAGTGCAATAATTATTTGTGGCGATTTAATTTGTGGCAATACCCGGTGTTCGTCGAAATCTGTAGCGAAATCAGAGACGAAATGCTTGTGTTGGCGGCATTGTGAAAACGAAATCGAAATTTCAACTACGTGTTGCTCTTTTTGGTGTTGCTTAATTCAATGTGTTGTTGTTTTAATTTTCGCAAACGAAAGTCTACCGCTTTGCATGTGTGAGTGATCGTGTCGCTTGTGTTGGTGGTAAAAGTCAGCGCAGAAACAACAACAAATTTAAAAGCCTTCAAGATGAGTGTGTGGAGCGATTGCAATGCCAAGCAGGCGGAATTCGGCATTGGTAAGTTAGCATTTATAGCGATAAATTACCTAGAATATGGCTAGCATAGTCAAGAATGTTTAAACAAAGTGTTTGGTAAACAAGCATTAAGGAATAGTTTATAAACTGCTAGCTGCTTCTTTCCAGAACCCAACCCCCACCTTTTTCTCTTTCCTTCGTTTCTCCGCGTGTGTGTGCCCCCTGCTGCGTTGCTACGGTAAAACTTGTTGCACCTTCTCTCTTGCACACGAGGCTGCTGTTGATCCTCTCTCTCTCTGTAATTTCGTTTTTCTTTCCATTTCATCCTCCTCATTCAACACTAGCATAGAATTCTGAGATTTGCTCTTGAAACAAAAACCTGTTTTCATCATCCGTCCCATTCCTCTTCCCTCTCACGTGCAACTGCAACACACTCCCAGAAATAAGTGATCATACACAGAAAAAAAATATTCTAATGATGCTTTTACGAATAATCCAAAAATTTTGTTTTTTGATACAAATTAGATATAAAAACAACATTTTCTAACAATTCAAATTAAAATTCAAAGTTTTAATTTCATATTTATATCAAAAGTATGTATTTTAATAAAAATGATATCATAAAAAGCAAGTCATTTTAAATCGGATACTTAAACGACAAATATTACAATTTTTGAAATTGTGCTTATAAAATAAAATAATAATAGAATTCATTTGCAAGGTGGTATTAAACCTTTTGACCTGCACTTCTTTTTTTTCTGTGTTTGCTGCAAGACAAATCCCAATTCATTGGCAGTGACCATGAAATATCTAATCGCGACCCGCTTCGTATACGTGTGAATTTTTTATGGCTCCCGCTTTGTTGACCTTTTCACCGCTGATCAATAGATACGACAGGTACAGGTACTATTGCAGGTAGACCGAGAGGAACTGAGAAACTCATTCGTTAACACTCGAATGGAGCTCCCCAGTGTTTGCACTTGTTATTTACACATGTTTGCCTCTGTCTCTGCCCTTTTTCGGTGTTTGCGCGTGTACTAACTGTCGAAATCTTGGCGAGTACTTGATAATACCGGTGGGGCGTGGTCAGGTGGGCGGAGGGTGGTGTGCGTTGGTAAAATGTAATCAAATGCGATAATGCTGAATATGGGGCGGTAGATAAGTTAGTCGTTGGCATTGAGTTGCGATTTTGGCCTTTGTAATGCGAAATGCCTTACAGCTCACACGAAATGGAGAAGAAACGCCTTATCAAAGACAGTTTGATGTGCGGTTGTCTTATCGCTGCCTTCCACTTTGTTTACTTGCATTTGGTTCTTACAAATTTCTAAATTTTAAGCAAATAACTGTCAACCAACCTATTGTAAAACATGTTAAACTTAGGCACTTGTTTGGCAGCTCATCCATTTTGAGAATTATTTGTTAAATACAGCTAGTCAGCGACGATAACAATTGAATAATTGCTTTATCACTTTATGGGGGCTCATTTATGTTATCGTCTATCGATATTTGCCTGTGTTTGTGGGTGGTACTGGGCTAAAAATTTGTTTCTGTTGAAGGCGAGTGTGCGAGCGAGCTAAACTTAAGTCCTCTACCTCCTGCATAGTAGTAGTTGTATATACATACATACATATGCAGTTCCCCTCACTCCTGTTGAGTGGGATACTTCAGCTCACTTACTACCTCATCCCCATGCACAGTGGAAGATTTCTAAAATATAGCTCGTAAAAACCAAGTACTCCCTCAAAATAGTGAACTAATCTAAATGTTTTTCTGAATAAATATGTATAAGATATTTAAAGCCTCATGCTTAACATGTTTAGTATATATGTAGCTAAGGTGTTGCCATTTAACATTCGAAAAATTACATTTTCATACCTACCACTGTGCCCCCACACCTTGCTTTGATGATTTGTCTGTTTGAGGACCAAGTTAAAAGTTTGCCCGCGGTGACATCTTCACTTTACTGCACTACTCCACTGTTCATTGCCTTTAGTTGGTGTACACCTGCAGGCTTCCCTCGCTTCTGTTTACTCACTCCATGGAGATGCATTCTACATTTAAATTTGAATAGCAACAAAAACAACGGCGTTAATAATAAATACAACAACATCAAATGAAGGGAAGAGCTGGAAAAGTAAACGTAAAACTTAATGAGGCCTGAGAGCAGTGGTGAAAAGTGGAGTCGAAACTCAAGCAGGAAAAAAAATCGAGGGGGACAGGGGGCCTAGTTGATTTGGTTTCTGATTTCAGAGTCTGGGTTTTCTCAATTTAATTAAAATTTTCCAGCTCGTTGGAGTTTGTGATGCATGAAATGCCTTTTGATTTGCATAATTTCAAAGGAAAGGCTTTTTTTCTTCCATTTCCACTACAAGTGAAAACTTAATCAAATTTGGTAGTGAGATGAAAGGGTCTTCTCAGATTTCTAACTTAATAAAACTCGATATGGGATTTTCCAAAACTAGTTGAAATTGTTTTCAAGGTTCACTTATCAAATTTTTCATAGGGCTAACAGTATTTGTATTTTTAGAGCAAAAAAACATAGTAATTTTCTAACACAGTAGTCTGATTGTAACTGGGAAGTCCCTGCCTCCATAATTTTTAGGACAAACAAGATAATGTTACAGAGTCCCCCCCGATTCGTGTTATCATGAGGCAGATGCCCTTCCTCCACAGCGGATGCATAATTGTTTGCGCTGCTGACTCAGATCAGGGAACATTCATCCCCTGGACTTTACTCACATGTCATCCTCCAACTCCGGATAGTTGAGCAACCGACCAAGTGAAATTCACATCCACTTGTAATTCTGATTCCACTTAGGCCGCCACCCCAGAAACCCTCCACTATCAGCGTACTCCCCCCAGTGCCGGCGAATCTCCGCTTTCCATTTCGCAATCAAAATGGAAACTCAATCGCTGCCCCCCATCCAACTTGCAACTATTCCACCCCAGTCCAAGATTGCCAATGTCGGAGATGGTCGCATCTTTGGTTTCCCTTCTATGCTAATTGACCAAGTGCAATCTTCGATTGCTCTCGGAAATTGCTTAATTAAACATAAATTGCCTGCCGCAAAGAGCAGTTGTGGAGATCGAATCCGATCGGGGGAAAGTGTCCAGGGGAACGAGCAACGGTTTGGGGGAACTGGTCGCGTCATTGGGGCACAGTGCGTCATCCGGTGTCAGTGGAAACTGGTTTCAGCCGCCGAAGAAATGTGAGCTAACGTTACAAAGGTTACCAGGTTCCATTGAAATATTTTCCACGGGTTTCCAAGGGTTTCCAATTTTCATCGCTTTTTATCAAGCCTATAATAGTCATTAAAACAAATGTTTCTTCAAAATAGGAAAAATTTAACACATTGTTTTAGATTTATATATGCTTACGACAAATGTTGCTTTGTTTCAATTTATTTTAAATTAAATTAAGTCAGAGACTATCATTGTGTTGTTTTATGTCCTATATTGACTTAATGGTTTTAAGGAAACATTATTCCATTCAAGCAGTTAACCTTTCTTGCTCGAAAAGTCATAAAACCAATTTGAGATTGTTTTTAAGTAATTTTTTTAAATAGCCCAAATGGGTCAAGTTTGTGTTTACATTTCCTCTTTTGTCTTTTGTTGCTCCGCAATTTTTTATGGCCCTGCTTCGTAATAATAACAACCTTTTTTTTATCAACATTCTTTCTGTTTGGATTCTAATTCTAATTTGTTTCCAGATACTTTTTACGACCGCAGCGACATTAACCGTAACTGTCAACGGGCAAGACGCTCGAAGCGGTTGTGCAAGTATTTTTATGAATTTATGTCCCATCAAATATTATCTAGGGGTCTAAGGATGGAAGAGAATGTGTAGGGTTCGCTTCCCATAAGTATGCGATGTACAATTTCGGTTTCAGATTTATGAGCTTGTCGAATAATTCCTTTTTGGCAAGCCCAAAAATGAGTCGAAAATAGAGATAACGATGTTAACACTAGCAATAGCAATATTTGTTGGTAAACAAATGCAAAGGAATCTAAAAAAGTTTGGTATTCATACAATTATTCATTCAATTTAAATTTATTATTATGACAAATCATGTATTTTAAATACTAGCTGCATGCAAACATTTCAGCTTTGCTTTGGGTAGCGTTAAACTTTCTCATTGAAGAATTTACAATCACTCTGTTCCCGTAGTTAAATTTGTTTTGAATGTACTGCAATAAACCCGAGATAATTAATTCACGATACCTAATTATAAATTCCTCCCAACACGTCTTCAATTAGCCGCATATGTATCCATCCGTCACTTAGAATTATTTCAAGTAAACAATAGAACTCTCATCGCACATTTCCCCCTATTATACACACAAGTGTGGATTTTTTTGTGTCCATATTAATCTCACCTCACCCCGATCTAGAGATCTTCCCTGGCATATTTAATTAGTCAATGCCAGAGCATCTTAACCGAAGAGAATCATTATAATTAACCCTCGAAACTGTTCCCCAGGCTTTGGACAATTAAAAACATATATATAGGAAAATGTATATATATAGAAAACGCTTTAGGGGCTTAGCTCATAAGAGCTCGTACTTGGATATTACTTATACTCGAATACCCCCCGAGCGTTAGAGAGCGTCAAACAAAACCCGCTTCTATACAGGAAAGCAAAAAACAAATGCCTAAATGTGTGTAGAAAATTTGCATATGTGTACGATCATATATAGCCATAAAGAATCTTCTCTGAGCCGCGTGCTATTTAAGCCTGAAATTTTGAAATGAGCCAAGTTGTGGCTCGCGTTGTCACGTTGTTGTAGTTTTTGTTTTATACTGTCCAGTCACCAGTCACGACGCCAACTCCGACACCAATTGATGACGAAGCGCCCCAACTGCGGTTTATTTTATATATTCACGTCGCTTTATGGTCTGCGACTTATTATTGTTTTGGCTTTGGCTTTGGCTTTTGCTTTTTATCTAGCATTCAGCAAACTTTAAACCTAGGCGGGCACACTTTGTTCACGTGCTGGGGGGCACTTCAAAACCTCCCTTTTCCAGGTGCAGCTGCATCCGTTGGAGCTCTACACGGAGCGAAAAATTCTTTTAAAGCTGTTAACACGAGAAGCTACACGGAAATCTCTTCTCATCACACTCTAAAAATAGACCGACCCATCTTTTTTAGAAACATCTTGTCATACTATGAAAAATAGTGAACATATTAATGATTTTTTCGTGTGCATTTTTTTAAAAGAAGCCTGGGAATTGTTCGTTTTTGGTTTGGTTTACCTGCCTGCCTGTTTCTATATTGTTATGAACCCTTTTTCCTTCTCACTGCTATTGAGCCGTGACTCCCCATCAGCGATCTCCGCCTATTTATAGTCGAACAAGTTGTGCATTTCATTATTTATGATTGTTTCCGTTAGTCAACAAGTTTGTCGCTGCAGCAGAAAAAAAAGGGTCTTGGGATAGGCTTTGTTTTGCTTATCGGCAAACTGGAGAAAAGGAAATGGGCTCGATTTAATGACGTTTTCGATCGTTCTTGAACTCAACCCCATCGATTCTGAGGCTTTATAGGTGCGCCGTTCCCTGTGACTGATTGCTTGACCGCAGCGTCGACGCTGGCGTAGGCGTCGACGTCGGATGATTCACTTCGCCATTTCCGAGTATTTTTTTTCACATATTTCGTATAAATAGCTCCCAGCTGGAGGGAAATAAGTGAATTACCATTAATCGTTGCCAATTGCATATATTTTAATTAAATCCAATCAGTTCGATAAGTCGAATTAGCTTTGATCCATATTTACGCACTTCTTAGGAAACTTTCCCAGCTGGGAAAGTTCTTCTGGGGAGGCAAGCTCAACTGGTTTCCGCAATTGACCCAGTCCCACTCCAAGTTAACTTTCCACGCAATTGGACAGACGAAATAAAATGCAAAGCGCAAAAAAGTAACAGATAAAACCATCTCACACGTAAGCACAGTTGAGGTCAAAATAATAGCAGTGCAAAATGATTGAGCTGTTTAAATTACACGTTTCTCATTAAGACCGAAAGAAGAATCTTGTTAATTCCCTATAATTGAAATGTTCAAGAATTAAGAAAAGATAAAATAAGCAAGTTACAATAACATTTTACCCATACCAAACAAGGTTATAGTAAGACAACATTCCTTTCTAAGTTCCGCGAATTCTTAAGTTTCATCAAATAATATACATGTCGTACAAATTCCCACATTCCCAGGCCTTTTAAGCTATTATTTTGGCTACTAGTTGTGCGACCACAACTGCCGCGGCAATGAATACCTTTTGCGAATTGTTGCCGCTGTCGCTCTTAATGTGCTGTGGAGGTCGTTCTCGCTTGTTATGCTTTCCATCGAGATCGGGCATCGCGAACATCGCGAGCATCGGTCATTGGACCGTATCTTCCGTCGCTCCACTGCTCCCTTCTGTTACGCAGTCGCCATCGGCACTTCCACCACTTCCACCACTTCCACCACCACCGCCACCACCAGTCCCAGTCGCAGCACCATCATTACCACCATCGTCAGCACCACCACCACCCGGAGCGTGCCACGCGAAGGCGGCTCAACTTGGTTTTTGTATCTTTTGTGCTTGACTGCGGCGCTGGGGATACGAGTACGAGTACGAGCACGAGGATTTGATGGGGGGGGTGCACATTTCTGTGTTTAACTATATATATATATATATATCATGTTGTTGCTTATATCTTAAGCTTGCACTATCAGGCGAGAAGGAAGTTTGTCGTCGACGATGTCCCATTATGTCTCTCGTAAAGAAAACAAAAAAGTAACTACTCCTAAGGGAATGTACCGACATCCAATGAATTTTTAAGCAAATTTGTTCACTCTGGTGGCAAAACTAACTAATTTATCTTTGTCTCTACATTTCCTTAAACTAACTAAGAAATTTATTGTAGTAAACATTAAAATGCAAATTTTAATAGTTCTTGCTTACCAAACCCATAGAACAATAATTCTAATAGCAAATTATTAACACTTTGAAGTTGATTAAATTTTGCTATTCTTGTTTATTACTTTTGCGACTTATTTGAAATTAGACCACTTATCTGCTAGAAGCGGATTCCGGGATGCCAAGTTACATTTCCCACTTCTTGGTGCGATATCGGCTTTCATTTCCAATGCAAGTGCGTCATTTGCAGTTCCCGTCAGACATCCAAGTCTTATCGGCAGTCGGCGCTTGGAGGAAGTTGCCCAAAGCGAGATCCAAAGACCAGAATGTATTTCATTTTTATGTTAGATCTCACGTATGCAACAAAAAATAGTGGCGCAAGGCGGGCTGAAGAATGGGATTCTGCTGGATTGTTGGTCAATGGACAATGGTTTATCAAATGGATGGCGGGTTTATCAAATATCCCATCCGCTTGGGCGCACAGATAGCGGCAACCCAGTTTCCGATGATCAGCGCGTCCCCCTCATGACGAAATGGGCTAATTGATAACCTTCCGCTCCCGTTGATTCGCGTTGATTTTGCTGTGATTTCGCTTAGTTTGCAGCGGCTGGCAACTGGAAAAGGTGCTCAAAATCTAAGCTCCCCGCACATCCGATATTTATTTAATTTTTGACTAATTTTAAAATGCTTTTTGTTTTTTAGCCAAGTGCAATTTCGACCAGGAGACAAAGCCACATCGCCTCAACCTGGATGTGGGCGATGCGGTCATAATACTCAAGGAGACCACCCACTGGTACTACGGCTATAGGCAAAAGTAAGTATAGATTTGCATATATAAATACTGTCGAGGAACTCACAAAACACAAAACAGATTTAAAATAATGTTTTCTTTCTATAGTTACATCGTAGCACCTAGTCAAAAAAAATACTCTGTAAATCACAAAATTTCATTAGTTTCCTTGTAAAGCGTGCACTGCTATTATTTTGATCTGTGTAGATTGGCTAATCAAAAACAATCTACTAGATCTTTTCCCCAGACTTTCACTGCAATCTCGTTTGTCTAATGCATATGCATGAGCTGTGGGGAAACATCGCAGACATTAGCGGACAAAAAATCAGCAGACAATCGACAGACGGAATAAAGAAAACACAGAAGCAGGCAGCCAAAGTTCAGAAGCGGAAATGCTTCAAACAGATATTTCACAGGCAGAGTAAGGCAATCGTAAATCAGGTACACAAGCGCCGCCCATTTGGTTCGGCCTTTGTTTACTCTCCTCAAGATGCCTGGCCCTGGGCCTGGGTATTCTGGGTAAATCTGTGCCATCGTGCTCTTGCCCAACGCTCCTTCATCCTTTCCTTCGAACAGATGCCACCATGTGGCTGCCAAAGTTGCATGCCACATCCGTCGAAGAGATAAAGTTTTCTTTTCTTTTCCCTTCACCCACCATTCAATATTTATTCATGGTTTTTGACCCTTTTGCTGCCGTTTGGTTTGTTTGGGTTTGTTTTAATTTTTTTTTTGTTCTTGTATCTCTTTTGGTTTTATCTGGAGACGACTGACCATGTCTTATCAAGAGAAACAAGAAGAACGCCATTCGAATTGACGTAATTGACCTTTTTCCATATTTCTGCTGACCCAAGAAACCCCTTCCCAAGTGAAACCAGAGATTCGGAGAGCCAGACATCTCGGATGGTAGAGAAAATACAACGAGTAGCAAAGAAAGTAAATAAATAAAAGCACAAACTCCCCGATCACAGTGAGGCTCGCTCAAGAAAACCAGTTGCCTGTCAGAATGTGTGACGTTAATTTGCCTTAATTGCGTAGAACGTTTCCCACACTTCACTGTGCGTTTATCTGCAGGCAATAAAATGAAATTCAAGGCGAGACGACACTCGATATGCTGATAACCTCTTTGGCCCGAATTTCTGTTTGCTTTCGGCTTTTCGGCTCTTCGCCTCTCCCCATCAAATGCCCATTTTTGTTTATAGAAAAATATCAATTTTAATTGTGCATTTTCTCACGATTTTAAAGCGTAAATATGAAACATTTACGAGGCTTCTGTCTGGGCATCGAAATCAATTGGAAATGGTTAATCAATTTGAAGGTTACGCAGCTAGCTAGATACCTGAACCAAAAACATCGATGTAGAACTATGACCGGGGTTCACAGACCTCACAGTTGGGGGAGATGGGAAAGTGTTCTGCTGATTCCATAACTGATGAATGCCTCGAGCAATTAAAGCGGCCACCCCGCATGTCAAGCGGCGAATTGAGCCAAATTAAAGCATTCCATTTCATCCGACAGTGTCACACTTTGAGCGCACTTCCTCTGCAGAACCGCAGACACTGAAAATTATTTTCAAACACTCATAAGATTTTGAGACTTTTCAAAATACCTAAACATTTGATTTAAATGAATGTTATTTCATGCAACAGCTAATACTTATAGGTTTAACTTGAAAATAAAGAGCTTTAAAGTATATAAATTAAGCAACACACATCTTTATAAATGATAAGGTCTTTAAGATTAAAGATTTTTCCTTAGTGCACGCTTTCCAGCGCTCCAAGTTCCCCTATCTCTGGGCTTGTGTTGGGTAATTCATCAGCCGCAATGGCTGTTGAATTGTGTCATATATGTAAATATGAAGTGTCCACAGTGGAGCGTCGGTTGTAGGCTCAATTCTTCACCGAACAGTTAAGGGGAACCACAAACCGAGCTTTGACTGTGCTGACTGCTAAGCACAGAGTGGCAATTTGTTCTTTTATGTTGCATCCCATGTGCACGCCATATTTTAATGACACCCCCTCTTCCTTTTTCAATATTTATATTGCAGAGCCAAGGAAACACGCGGCATATTTCCCAAGAGCTACATACATTTGTGCGAATACAATATCGTGAATGGGGAGTTCTGCATCCAGCGTACGGATATTGTAGAGGAGATCACCAAAGTTCTTCTGGAGTGGGGCTCCATTGCCAAGAATTATTTTCTGGTGAGCTGTTATACACTTCTCAGCTAAGATTCCATTTGAAACCATTTTCATTTTCCAATTTAAGACCACAAATCCAAGCTTTAAAGAGATTCGCGCAAAAATGAACGAGCTCAATAATAACCGGGCAGCCTTGATCTCCGGCAATCTTCCGTTGGACGAGGTGCGCAAGGTGAAGCTGCTGGCCACCAACCAAATCGATACTGGGAACAAGCTCCTCGGCTTGGACATGGTCGTGCGGGATGAAAGTGGCGACATACTGGACACCAATGCCATTTGCACCACCGAACTCTATGAGCAGCATGTGCACGCTATTCAACGCATCGACAAGGCCAATGTGAGTATTTAAAGCCGCAACGGAAAAACTATATCTGTCAGCAATAAATTCAAGTTCAAGTCATAAAAGAAATGTCAAGATTTTTTGTTTATTTGTTTAAATTGCGTTGATTGTTTTAGTTATTTATAGAATTTATTTGATCATTAGTGTAACATTTATGTTTTGAAACTATGAGATCAAATATGCATTCCATTCAAAAGTGCCAGCATTTAAAGTGTACACTATATATACTTTGATTTTAAAAATAATATTTTTGCTAAACCTATCTACATTGATCCACCCTACAGCGGTTGTCCAGCGAGCGGGGAACAACGCGAACTCTCAACAAGTACTCGCATAATATTCTGCTGCACGTGAACGCCTTCGTGTGCAAATTCCAGGAGGATTCGGACCTGCTCTTCACGCTTTTCGACGGCGAGACGCACAAACCCATCAGCGAGAACTACGTGGTCAAGTGGTCGCGGACTGGCATCGCCCGCGATATCGATCAGATAGACAACAACCGCGTTCTGTTCACGGATCTCAGCAAGAGCGACCTGGCCATCGCGAAAATGTACCTCGTTTGCTATGCCATCCGCATCGGTTCCATGGAGTTCAAAGAGTCTGCGGACTCAAAGCGGACCAGCATGAGCATCGCCAACAGCATGCTAAATGCTTCGAGTCGTAAGGCTTCGCAGCTATCCGTGAGTTCGAATGGATCGTCCAGTAGCAATGGGGAGTACATTATACGGCGACCGTTTGGAGTGGCCTGCAAGGACCTGACGCCCATCATCAACAAGTCGGAGGACTTTCGCGGCAACATAGACCTGCCATTCATCATGTGCGAGAAGGACACGCTGGACGGAACGCTGCGCAAGCTGATCGCCAACAAGGACATCGGCAAGATCGACTCGAAGATGGCGGTAACCATCGAGGTCCTACGTGGTGACATCAAGCAGATTAAGGAAGACTTTCCCCGGCTGGTGCACACTAATGTGCCAGTGGCCCGAAAGATGGGTTTCCCCGAGGTCATACTGCCCGGTGATGTGCGCAATGATCTGTACCTCACGATCTGCAGTGGCGAGTTTGCCCGCATTGCCAAAACCTCGGAGAAAAACGTGGAGGTGTCGGTGTGTGTGGCCAACGAGCAGGGTTACCTAATGCCCGGCGTACTAAGCATCGGAGCTGGACATCAGCCCATCGATGAGTACAAGTCGGTGGTGTACTACCACGACGACAAGCCCAAGTGGCAGGAGACGTTCAAGATTCACGTGCCCATCGAGGACTTTAAGCAATGTCACCTGCGCTTCGTGCTCAAGCACCGCAGTAGCAACGAGCAGAAGGATCGCACGGAGAAGCCCTTTGGCCTGGCTTATGTGCGTCTGATGCAGGCCAATGGCACGACCATACCGCAGGGCCAGCATGTCTTGGCCGTTTACAAGATCGATCACAAGAAGTATGACAAAACGGTGGCCAATTGTTATATGGAGCTGCCGGCCACAGTGGCTGAGCTGCAGGGTGCCAGGCCCTCGATCGGCGGACTTACCCTCCTGCCCAAGGATCAGCTCTCCATCGGTGTCAACCTGTGCAGCACCAAGCTCACGCAGAGCGGTAAGAAAAATGGTTTTAATAGAATTTAACAATTTTTTAATGTATGTTTTTTTTTGAATAGTGAGCTTGCTGGGTCTTCTTAATTGGTCCGCCCACAAGGAGACGCTGGAACAGTCGCTGAATGCCTTGTCCACGGTGCCCGGTGAGGAGGTGGTGAAATTCCTGCAGGACATCCTCGATGCCCTGTTCAATATACTGGTGGAGAACGATCAGCCCGAGAAATACGATCAGCTCGTCTTCATGAGCATTATACATTTGATCGAAACAGTGTCGGATCTGAAGTATCAACACTTCCTCTCTGTTCTTGATGTTTACATCAATGAGAGCTTCTCCTTTACACTTGCCTACACGTAAGTGATATATATATATATATATATATATATATATATATATATATATATATAGTAATAATAACAATAATAACTAACAATTTTTGATCATTTCAATGCGTAGCAAACTGATGGATGTGCTGCAGAAGAACATAAGCGAGGCCATCACCCCGAAAGAAAAGTCAGCCGATGGCAATGATTTGGAGGAGAGCGCGGAGGTGCGGCGTCTGTACAAGACCACTCGTTACCTTCACTACGTAATGAAGTTCGTGATTCGATCCCGTGTTCTCTACGCCGAGATGAACTGCGACACGGACTATGTGGATTTTGCAACCCGGTTGCAGGAACTTCTTCGCATGTTCATCGATATGATCGGTTGTCCGAGCAATCTGCTCAAGTCAGAGGGAGCGCTGCTCAAGAATCTGCACATTATAGCCACGGATCTGATGCAGGTGTTCGATCAAGTGCGATTGAGGTGCGTTCAGATTGAGGTGCCACCAGATTTCATAAACTAAATAGAATTTATAATTGCTTACAGTATTTCAATTGTTGAGATCCTTGAGAAGTTCCCACCGCGCCGTCTCACTCAGTCAAAAATGGGCTGCATCAAGGACTTTGTGGAGACCAAGCTCTTTACCCTGCCCAAGTGCCGGGCCATTTTGTTGCCCGTGTTTTGCAAGCACATCAAGGATCATCTCGAGAGCAAGGAGGAGGTAAGTGTTTCAGCACTAACAACATTGCGTGTGCCACTAATTTATCATTTGGAACTGCATTTTGTTCTTAATCCAATGCATCGTCCTCGAAAGTTGTCTTGTTAATGCACCAACAAGTCGCAAAATTAAAACATTACTCAACACATGATCAAGTCAAGTCAGCTCCGAAAGTAACTAACTGAAAACAAACTTTTACTTTAACTTTCCTCACACAAATGCTTACTGTTTTGGTCGTCAAATTTGGTTATTTTATATACCAAGAAATATAAGTAAACTAAACACCAGAAACAGACCAGACATTGCTTATAATAAGAATCGTCCATTGGGGATGCCTTAATCTTTTAATTAACTTACACAGATAATTCAATAAATATAATTCATTATTTGCATACATATTAATTGCATCAAACACTTCGGCAAACTTCCATATTTTCCCCTTGACATGTGACTTGTCTTAATTTTGCTAAGTTCCAGTTTCAATTATTTAGTAACTATTTAAGAGTCTAATCCTTGCTAGCTATGTTTATTTAGTGTTAGTGTTAAGCATGTTGCATTTGCTTTCTATTGAGTTTTAAGAATGTTTAGCATGTGAATTGGCAATGTCAATTGATCGATTGCCTATTGTTATGTTATGTGTCTTGTGTCCTAGTTTTAGATCAATGTTTTGTCCACGTCCTAGTGTTAAGCACCATATAAATGATTGTAAAATGTAGTGACTTAGCCATGCTCTGTCCAAGATAGCTTCATGTTAGTTAGCGATCTTCCTGTGTGTGTGTGTCTATAGCGCGATTACCTTTTGTATCTACCATGGGACGTAGCGAACTCATGTAAATGTTGTGTGAACGTTCCACCGACGTGTTTAGTTTGGCCATTAGAATTGCACCCGCTCACCGTCATTGTCATAGCTAGAAAGCAATTTGCATTTGGCAGCTCATCAAAGCACCACACAAATCACATCATCCACCTGGGAACAGTAGCCACACCTCAACCACACACCAAAACACCGAAACACCGAAACACACCCACCCAAATATGAATGTGCGATCTCTCCTCACACTGGCACCTAATTCTATCTGTCTGTACCACTTGACCAATTTCATCATCACTAAATGTTTTTCGTATAATATTTCAAAAATCAAACAAAATCTTTATTCACGCACAACCCAACCGATGTGTTGTTATCGTTTCTCTGTCGTTGCCACCGCAATTGCCTTGTACCAAAAAAAAAAAACTAGGGAGACTCGAAAACCGATATCTGGCAGCAAGAAAAGAATCTTTCGAAAGCCGCCAAAGTGCTCGGACAGAAAAAATCCCAACTGCATACATGTGATACGACAGCCAATAAAAAGGTAAAGGAAATAAATCTCTCATCCCCCCAAACTTTCAATCAGGTCAGGCCAGGTCAAGTTCTGTGATCAGCATCCACCCCTTTGAGTTGTTACCTTACCCCCAAATGTTTTGTATAATTATCATGTGTACCGCCTAAGAATTCTCTGTTCGGCCGTTAAGCTTGCAGCTAAATGGTACAAAGGCTTACCAAGCTTCATGCTGTCGATGGCGGGAGAATGCTAAAAATGCTCGATTTTCCCTCCATTGACAACCGCTAAGTTAGGCTTAAGTTGTTTCAGCTTTTTTGCAATGCAATGTTAAATGGTTTCGTGTTTTTTTTTTATTCTACCTGCAACGTTTTTTATGTTAATCTTATTCTTAATTAAACACTAACGTTACCTTAAACATGTGAAGCCCAGCAAAAAAAAAAGTCAACAGAGCCCAGAAGAGCTCTCGAAATAAATAGATTTAAACACTGAGGTCCATTTACGTTTGCAATCTTATGTAATTTGGCGTAGTTTATCATAAGACTTTAAATTTAGTCATAAATTAAGCTATATAGAAGAGTCTTATAAAAGTGGTTTTTAAAATCATATATAAAATCGTTAGAGATAGAAAAGTGTATCAAATATAATGACTACCCAAACTTATGTAAATTGAAAACAGTAATTGGCTTCGAAATCCCTTGAGTAATCCACCAGCATCATGACCATGTTTAACAAATCCATTTCCATCGTTAGATTGCCGAGTGCATCAACATCATGAACAACATACTGAAACTGCTTTTCCGTTCGGATGTTGGCGCCACGCACAACGACATCCGAGACATTATGATCATCCTGTTTCGCACCGTGATGAAGGCAGCCCACGCCCTGGATAGGGACACGGGTTTGGTGGGCAAGTTCTTTGCCATCATGCTGGGAATCCTGCAGCGCATGGATGCCCTGCACTATGAGTACTTTGTGAAGGATTTGCATCAGCGCGGCGAGCTAAAGCACTTTGTCATCGAGATCCTGCTGGTGTTTGAGGAGCTGGTGTCTCCGCACCAGAAGGCGGTGTTTCCGCGTGATTGGATGGACATGATTATGCATCAGAACACTGTGATTCTGGGAGCTCTCAAGCACCTGACCGTGGTGATCACGGACTACTTCCTGGTGCCATTCGAGAAGCAGATCTGGTCGAACTTCTTCCAGTGCTCCATCGCGTTTCTCGTGCAATCGCCGCTCCAGCTAAACGATTTCAACGACAACAAGCGGCAGATTGTGTTCGCGCGTTACCGCGACATCCGCAAGGACACGGCCATGGAGATCAGAAAGATGTGGTTCCAGCTGGGCCAGCACAAGCCGAAGTTTGTGCCGCAGCTGGTCGAGCCCATTCTGGAGATGAGCATGATACCGGAGAAGGAGCTGCGCCAGGAGACCATTCCCATCTTCTTCGACATGATGCAGTGCGAGTACTACAGCTCTCGGCTGGAGCAGGAAAGCTATGGCGACACCAAGTACAACAACACCCACCACAAGGGCAACTTCTCCGACTTCAAGACGGCGATGATCGAGAAGCTGGACATCCTGATTGGCGCAGGCAAGGGCGATGCGGAGTACAAGCATCTGTTCGAGACAATCATGCTGGAGCGTTGCGCCGTCCACAACACCCTCAATGTGGACGGCACGGCCTTTGTGGAGATGGTCACCCGGCTGATGGACAAGTTGCTGGAGTATCGCTGCATTATCCAGGACGAGAGCAAGGAGAACCGCATGGCGTGCACCTTCTCGCTGCTGCAGTTCTACTCGGAAGTGGACCTCAAGGAGATGTACATCCGCTATGTCTACAAGCTGTGCGCCCTGCACATGGAGTTCGAGAACTACACGGAGGCGGCCTTCACCCTTAAGCTGCACACCGAGTTGCTGCGCTGGACGGACACGGAGCTGTCGCCGCAGCTGCGCAGCTACCGGCACAGCAGCTGTCGCACCCACCGTCAACTGAAGGAGGCCCTCTACTTCGAGATCATGGAGTACTTCGACAAGGGCAAGCAATGGGAGTGCGCCATCGACATGTGCAGGGTGCTGGCCCGCCAGTACGAGGAGGAGATCTTCGACTACCTCAAGCTCGCCGAGCTGCTGAAGCGGATGGCTTTGTTCTACGAGAAGATCATCAAGGAGTTGAGGCACAACTCCGAGTACTTCCGGGTGTGCTTCTACGGGCGGGGATTCCCGCGGCTCCTGCAGAACCGCGTCTACATCTTCCGTGGCAAGGAGTACGAGCGACACAGTGACTTCTGCGCCCGGATGCTGGTGCAGCATCCGCAGGCCGAGCTCATGCAAACGCTGGAGGCGCCCGGCGAGGACATCACCAACAGCGACGGGCAGTACATTCAGGTCAACAAGGTGGAGCCCATAATGGGGCCGGCGTTCAACAAGTTCAACGAAAAGATAATCAACAACGAGATTGTCAAGTATTTCACCGCCAACAACGTGCAGAAGTTCCAGTTCTCGCGTCCCTTCCGGGACAGCATGGGCGGTGGCGACAGGGACGATGTGCGGAACCTGTGGCTGGAGCGCACTGAGCTGCTCATCCGATTTCCCCTGCCGGGAATCTTGCGCTGGTTCCCCGTCATCGAGACCAGCACCTTTAAGATTTCTCCCCTGGAGCGGGCGGTGGAGATCATGAAGGACACGAACAGCAACATTCGCCAGCTGGTAATTCTGCACAGGAGCGACGAGACGCTGCACATCAATCCGCTGAGCATGAAACTCAATGGCATTGTCGATCCAGCGGTGATGGGTGGCTTCGCCAAGTACGAGGAGGCCTTCCTCACCGATGACTATCTGGAGCAGAATCCCGACGACAAGGAATTGGTGGAGGATCTCAAGGAACTGATTGCCAATCAGATTCCATTGCTGGAGATCGGTAAGTCTCAAAGTCGCAGGTGAAATCTATCAAGATTAGAGAACATTTTCCTTTTTATGTCCCCACACAGCCATTCAGCTTCATCGCATGCGGGCGCCGGAAAGCCTAAAGGCGCTGCAGGAGCACCTGGAAGGATGCTTTGCCGACATGCAGCAACACGTGGAGTTGCGCTATGGTCGCAAGTCCTGTGACCTCAAAATCGAACGCGATTCGGTGGTGATGCGACGCCCCAACTCCTTCCTGCCCCCGCTCTTCGATGGCAGCAACAATCGTCACTCCGAGACCAGCATGGGTTCCTCAGAGTAAGTCATCATAGTGACTCCCCTGCCCTTGGTTTCTACTAATGACCCCCGCCCCCTTTTTGTTCCCACTTGCAGCAGTGGCCTGTCGAAGTCAACATTTCTGCCGCGGCCACAGACCAATTCCATTAAGAACACTCTGGCCAGCTTAAGTTTCAACACGAGGTGAGTGACGTTAAAGATCCCGAGTTGTTTGGAATGCTCACCCTAACCAGTAATCTTCTAACTCTTCCTCCATGCTAACCATGCTGGCTTTCAGTTTGAGACTCTAACATTACTTTGATTTTGTTTGATTTTGGAATTTCATTTTACTTTTGTTTTGTTTTTTTTATTTTTTCACTGCGTTATGTTGCTTGTCGGCTATGCTTACTTTGCCTGTGCCATCATGTGCAGACCCAGTTTGGGACACTCGCCGAGCATCAAGAGCAACAAGAACAAGGACAAGACTCCTGGCAAGCGGCGATCAAAGGATTGTAAGGTAAAGGTAAGCTAGTAAGAGATGACTTTTGGTCTAATCCCTTAATAAAACGAAATGAATCACAGGAGCGTGAGGTTCATAGCCTGTCCAGCAGTCAGTGGTATACACCGCCCTTGTCCACCATAACGTCGACGCCCGAGAAGGAGATCAACACATCCATAGCTTCGCTAGCCAGTACCTCTAATAGTTCTCTGAGTGGTCCCAAGACGCCAGATCCTCATATCCTCACAGAGGAGGTAAATTTTTGGATGCGATCGATGGCATTGACACCTTTATCTAACTAACCCTTGTTGTGTTTAAAAACAGCTCACACCCAAGCGTCCTTTGCGTTCGGAAATGGAGAAGGAACGTCGACTCTCTCGACCGGCCAGCATTGCCACGCCCACGGCCAGTATCAAGAACTTTCCGGACACACGTTCGCTGTCCGAGAGCAGCAATCGCAATTCTGTTGGTAAGTGCGAACTGTGAGCAATCAGGTTTTCAGGTTTAACACTTAATAAATTGTAAATTGTACCTTTAGAAACCACCGATTCGACATCAGAGGAGGACATTCGACCACCGCCGTTGCCCGCCAAGGCACGCGACTCCACCGATTTCACCAGCCTGTCGCAGAACATGGATTGGACGCCGAATGGTTTCACACTGCTCAGCACACAAATTAGCAACACGAGCAGCAGCAGCATGAGCACCACCTCGACCCTGACGAAGACCAGTATTAGCAACACCACGTACGAGTATTTGGAGACCACGAACTTCAGTTTGGTGGGTGCCGTCGATGGAAGCAAGCCGCGTCCGCCGACGCCGCCACCGAAGCCATCGCGCCACAGCAAACACATTCCATAGGATAGCAAGGGGACGGGTTTCACCCTCTACCCCCAAAAAAGCTTCCAGTGCAGCGCCATATATGTTCAACCGTTGTCGAGTGCCAAATATTTCTGTTACTACATGTATAGCCGGCAAACGAGCCTGTAGCAGTCACAGCCACAGCCACAAACACAAACACAGCAACGACCTTTGCCTCAACCTAACGACCGCCTACCAAATCAAGTGTCTTAACAAACGATCGCATTAGTTTTTAGCATTCAGATTTCCGATAACTATGTCTAAGTGTTTGGTTACGTTTAAATGATATTATGTTGAACATGTCATTTTTGTTTAGTTTAGTTTTCGTCGTGTAATTCGTTTCGAAACATACCCAACTGCTTGTCTTCCACAAGTACTGTTCAATGTTGTACACATGTGTGTTGTACTTTTAGATATATCTACGATTAGATGTAAGCTTAAATCAGCAATTCGAGGAACTTTGTACGTCTCTTATGCAAACAAGTGCCACAATCTATATGCAATAGCAATTAGCATACACGAAACCTATGACCATATCTTCGATTTTACGAACAAACAAAATGGTTTTAGCACAAATTTACTAACAAGTCAATTACGAAATACGAATGTGAAACGAAATTTTGTATGCTACAATTTTTAAAACATTTTTTGAAGAACGCATAACTATTTACACTGTTTTTTATACGATTCAGTATAGCCATAATGTAGAGCAACTAAATGTTGAGATTTATTCGTTAAGCTTATATAAATACTATATATGAACAACTTATTGCACTGAAACCATACGGCGTAATAATTTTAACGAACTTGAGTATAAATACTTAATTTAAGCAAAAATCATTGTTTAATTTTGTTTTTAATGGATTCTGTGTAATTTTCGATCTGTGTGTCGGCCAAAGATTAAGCAATAATAAAATATAATTAAGCAAGTAATTTTTACTTGATTTTAAATGTAAGGGGGGTCAGTAACCTAGCCAAAGTTAAACAGCAAAGTTATATTTGGTTTTTTTTTAACTTGCTGTGGGCCAAGTTAAATGTTGAAAAACTACTGAACCGCATTTTTAACTAAGTAAAACAATGGGCCACTTTTTTTTTTGGTTAAAAACGTTTATTAAAAATTTGTTGTTTGGGGTTTCTTTGATTAGTAAAACGCGAAACCTGTTTAAATGAACACATTAACCAGGGCCGGGTAAAAGTTGGTTATAAACATTAAAATTGTTGGGTAAATCAATAGGTTATATAAATTAAAGTAGTATGAAGTAGTTCCATTTCGAAAGTTGTGCTTAAGCTTAGTAAATTGTAAAATGGCTTCGGTTTCCTCCTTGAAAAGGCACACAATAATACGGTTTTGAAAATGCACGGAATGTTCGTTGTTCCAGGGACAGCTGGGTCCTGAGATTTGAGACCAAAGTGTAAGAGAGTGGGTGCGTAAAAAAATGGCAGGAACGGGATTAGACATCGACTCCGCGGGCCGAGTGCAGGTCCACGCATATCTTGGAGTTGCGGTTCTGCTTCTGACTTATCTCTAGTACTTGGAACATCTCCTTGAGGGCCTCGCTGGTGCCCGTCTTGCGGCGATTGCGCCTCCGTAGCGTCACGCCGCCCGACTTGAACTCTCGCACTAAAGCGTCAAGACCTGCAACAAAAAAAAATGGAGGACGGCAATGAGACCTAGGCTTTGTTCTGGAATTACAATAAGTCGCTGCTAAAGCTTAACGAACATGCAGTTAGATGTTAGGGGTAGAGGCGACAGGACAGAACCGTGGCCCAGGAAGCAGGCAATACTCACCCACGTAATCAAGTAAGCCCTGGACTTTAAAGGGTTTTTTTTTTTTTTTTGGTCGGTGGCAATTGGACATAAATCACGGACAAGGCCAAAACGGGTTGATGCGAGCAACTGTCGCCGGCGACAAATGAAGCTGGACTCCGGTGGTCGTCAATGGAAATATACGGTCTCCCCCACTCCTCACCTAGATGTGTGTGTGTGTGGGGGTGGGTGCCAGCCAAGAGTTGGGCAGGGCCAGGAGAAGTGGCGCAATAAAACACGGAAATATAAAACGCACAAATAATAATAATAATAATAAGCCATGGTCGGCCCAACAGCAGCAACAATGCGGCCTGCGGTTCTGGAGCGCTGCTATGGCTTGGCCCCTCCTCATAAAAATAATAAATTGCGTCCACTACGCCATCATCATCATCATCATCATCGTCATCGTCGTCGTCGAATTTGATACGGTCCTAGCTTGACAGTTTTGGGCGGAGAAGTGGGCCAGGAGCCGAATGCCAAGCATAAAGCTGCTATGGCAAGCGTAAAGTACAGGAAAACTGCGAGAGCTTCGCTTAAAGCCAAAAATTCTTCAGGCAGGTTTCTTGCCTTGGCCGGCGCATGGAAGCCAGGCAAAAGCAAAAGCAAAAGCCTTTTGCCCCAGTTCTTCGGTTGTCGGGAATCCAAGCAGCGCACGGTAAGGAACTTAAATCAAATTGAAGTTTTCAACGTATCGCATGAAACCGGAAATGGCACTCAGAGATGCATAGAGCTTTAGTGACGACGACGGGCAGGATATTGACAAATGCGTGATGGAATTTCCGCTATTGCTCTACCTCTACCTGCCCCCTCTTTTGGAAAGACAATTCGTTTAAACCGTGCTCCACCGCACACACACACACATAAGTCCGAGAGCCCGTAGATTCGGCAAACAGGGCAGGTCATGGAGGTCGGGCCTCCATAGAAAGTGAAGCTGGTAGCTGTTAGCTGGTAGCAGGTATCAGGTAGCAGGTATCTGGTGACCATGGCAGCAGCACCAACAATGGCAGCAACTTGTTGTTATGTATACACACGACACAGCCAGACTTGGACAATATCAGCATTTCCATTCGTCTCGCATCGCTTCGCCTCGCTTCGCCTAGCCAAGCTCCATCCACCTCGTTCCGGTGTGGGACGCTTCATTTGTGTTGTGCCACCCCGCCGAGCAGGACGACGAGCTTGACTTGACGAGTGCGGCCAGGACACGAGCAGCAGCGCCTGATGCCTAGCCGTAAAGCTGATGTACGGCTGGCTGCCAGCTCAAATGCTTCACGTGCCTCAAGAGACGCGCGCGCGTTCTCCGCTCCACTTCGCTGGCAAAGGTGCTCCATGCAGCCACGTTCTCTATATATCTAAATGTATTATATCCGAATATATATCCGAATATATATATATAGAAATCGTCATATTTGTAGCGGCGTTTAACTGGCTTCCAACAATACGCGCGTTGATTGATTTTGATTTGAATGTGCGCTCGTTACGCATACGACGCGTGGTGCGCGCCAAAAAGTAGGCAACATCAATGAAGCCAGCGCCAAAACAAAACGGAAACGGAAGTGCTTAGTGACAGTGTGCAGTGTCAGAGGAAGTGTGCGAGTGGGAGTGTGTGAGCCAAGCATGGCCCTGACATTGCTGTCCTTATCTGAAGTTCTTAGCCCAAGTAAGTGGACCACCGAAGGATAACATTCACTCATAAAAAAGCAGTCACAAGATAAAATCCCCCCTCATTATAATAACCTGTAAGGTGTATCTCCTGGATCAATACCGCCTATGTAGATATACATATTTGCCAAAGGTTTATAATATAATCATGCATTTCCTGCCTTGATGCACACGCACAAAAGGTTCAGTAACAACATACACGGGTAAATTTACAATATGATGCGGGCCTATGGGTTGAATTCATTTTCATTGAGCCTACTATTTCTCTATTGATAAAATTGCGATTTAAAGTCGGCTTTTGTGTGTATAACTCAGTTTAATATTACTGCAATCAAAATCGATTCGCTCAACTTCTCGATTTTTACCACAATTGTAATAAAAGAGAAAATTAAACGGCAGAGATGGCCCACAAGTGCAATATCAAAACAAACACCTACGCCCTCGACTAGGTACATACCTTTATATAGTTCACATCCTTTGGCTTCACATTGTGCGCTATATGTATGTATTATGAGAAATTATGTCAAAAAGACAGGCAATCAGTAAATTCATATTTATAGCAGGGTTTAACTCAAAACCTAATTAAGCTTACACTAGCTTGTTACTCGGGCTGAATTAAGAATTCGAAAGTCAATTGAATTTATATACAAGGGATGCTATTAGTTATGTTTTGCTAGTATTTATTTAAATATAAAGTATGACAAGTGTGTCATAATTTAAAGCATTTGTTGTGGAAGATAAATATCTTAAGGTGAAATACGCTTCAAAAAAATAAACAAATGAAAGAAAAATCTGAACATTTAAAAACAATATATATATACCAAAATTGTATACTCGCATGGTTTTTTTTTGTTGTGCCTAAGGTTTTTGAAATTACTGAGGAAATACCCAATTTTGGTGGAACATTGCCGCTCTACCCGCTTAAAATGTTCAATTTTCTGACAACGAACGACCCGCTCCCTGTGTCCATAATTCCTATTGATACCAGGTAGTGGGTCCAGGGCATCATCCTATCCCTCTCAAAAAGCTGCTGGCAAACTTAATTAAGAAGTTGCTGCTGCAGCCGTCGACAGTGGATGGCGAGAGTGGAGGAGAGCAGCCAGTGAAAGCCTGCATTCAGCCGTAAAAGAAGCCGACGTGTAGGTAAAATCAATTACAATCGCAGACGGGCTACCGAGTTGCGTGTGCGAGGGGCGGATGAAGAGATGGAGTGATGGAGTGGTGGAGAGATGAGTGGCGTGGGCGTAACTGACAATTGACAGCAACAAGTTGGACCCTTCAGCCAAGCCAGATCTCCGGGACACGGCGACAATGGCAAGCACTTGTCAACACGCACGACTGGCAAGGATTAGCCGCAGACATGAGTAACACAACGCAACATGAGTGGAAAGAGTGGAAAAACCCTCTGCTGACAGCTTATTTCAGGCCAATTTCCCGAATTCAGGCAAAGAATGTAGGCGAACTAGAGAGAAAACAATCTGCTCAAATCGATTCAGGCTTCGAAATTTCTCAAGTATTCCAAAGTCCATTCAACTTGTGCATTGCCCAAGAGTTCATCTGCCACTCGAGATCCTTGAGAGGCAAACATTCTCAACAATGGTCAAAACTTGCTGGCGAGCAGCTCTAAAACTTTATTGAATTGCCAGTCCTTAAAAGTAGAACAAGTAAGACCGACCAATGACAATTGAGGCCAAGAAGGGCGAAAGGAAACGTTTGTTTTTGGGGTCATCATGGGTACTTTAACCCACCAACAGAAACACACACACACACACACACACTAGGGGTCACCTACGAAAACTGGACATCTGGAAGGTAGTTTGACCCTGGGTCGGATTACATACCTGTTGCTGCCTCGGCCTGTACCTGATGTTTCACATTGTCGATGATCTTGTCGCCGCTGCCCTTACGCAAGCAATGCCCGGCAATGTGGTCGCTGAGGCTGCTCCCGCCGAGATCCCCGCCAGCTGCTCCCAAGCCACCGGCTCCAAACAGCTTACCCCGCATGGGTGGTGCCGGTGGTGGAGGCGGTGGCGGAGGAGGAGGAGGAGGTGGTGGTGGTGGAGCTGGAGCAGCCAGCGACTTTTGCTCGGACTGCTGGTAGCGCGCCAGTTGCTCCTCGGCGTGATCAGCTCGCGTTAATGCCTCGCGCAGCTGCTCCTCGAGTATCTCCAACTTAAGTTGTAATTTTTTTAGTTCATCGTTAGTAGTTTTGGCTATAGCCGCATCCATTAGACTTTGCTACAAATGCAAGAAACAAGAACGAAGGTAGAGCGGGGCAGGCGAGAGGGTAGTGGGTAGCGGGAAAGAGTTGGGTTGAGGTGGTTAAGAAAATTAGTAGATCTATCAAGGCGTATCAACTCGGTGGGTTAGTGCATCGAAAGCCAGGTTTTGGGGAAGTGAGTGGGACGAAAGCGACGCACGGCAAGCGATTTGCTTACGTGTCTCGGTTGGTTTTTTTTTTTTTTGTTTGGATGGCGAAGGAAGTGTGACCCGGCACCAAGATTAGGGAACAACAACATGCCCAGCTGGGCACATTCCATGCATTTCGCAGAACGTATTATTGAAGGTGCATTGTGGTGGGGGAATCGCCTTCACCAGCTGTTCTTGTTGCGATTCAGTTGCTCTTGAAGATATTCGAGAGCGGCTTGAAAATGTCAAACACGCTGCGTGTTTGCTAATGGACAGTAGTAGATGGATAGAAGGACATAGATGGAATAGACAGTAGACAGTAGACAGTTTGATAGCCATAGACCAAATCGGAGAAATCGGAGAGTAACCGGAACTCGTAACTAACCATTTCCACAATGCGCTCGTTGTGCTCCCTGGCCTGCTGTTGCACCTGGTCCTGGATCTCCTCGAATTCCACCTGCTCGTTCAGCACGCTGGACGAGGTGCTCGTCCTGGAACCCGGCTGACCATCGGTCAGATCACGTGTCTTCGCCGTGAGTTCATCATTGCGCTGCTTCAACTTGATCAGAGCGGCCTCCATCCTGTTGGCATTGACATGTAATTTAGCTTTTAGATATTCATTTTTTTTTTGTAAACTCACTTCTGGCTAGTTTCCACACTCTCCTTCATGTTCTCCGTGAGCAACTTGGCCACTTTCGTCAAGTTGCTGTTCTCGGTGCGCAGCGATTCGTTCTCCTCCTCCAGTGAGTGTTGCTAATTGTGAGACAAAGAACACATCTAGTTTACTACAACTCTACACGAGTTGAGTCAAAGTTTCTTATGACTTGCCCACCAAGCTTATCTACAACATACATTTCGTTCATGTTATTATATATTCTGACCACTAGCAAGTTCTATGATCCAAATTTAAAGCTTCTAATGAAAAAACAAAAATCTTTAACACAGCCAACACGAAAAATGTAACTGCAATAATAGATTATCAAATTACTCATCGGAACTAGTTAATATAATATTACTGCGACAAAGATTTAGAGTGAAATGAAATTAAAAAAAAAATACGTATTTAAGACAATGTTTTTGAAATTTTTTTGAAAAATTTGGCTATTACGGCGTCATTTTCCACAGAACTTTGGAAGAAAGGTTTCTCCGTGTTGACAGCAAAACTTTTTGCAGGGTCATCAAAAGTAAAAAATACATGTAGTTAAGACCATAAACTAAGTATTGGACGAAGGAAAAAAAAGTGAAAATTGTGTTTCTGACAGACATTTTTGCAACAAATACTTATTTTGGTGAAAATTTGTAGAAGGTTATTTTTTAAATTTTTGCAATTGAAAAAAAAAAACGTTCGTTCAAGATCTTGAAAAATTTTATTAAGATTTTCAAAGCTGTATCTGCAAAACTTACACTCGGATCAACTTGAAATTTTGGGGTAATCTTCTAGAAATGTTCAGAATTTAATAAAAAAAATTATATTTTATGGAACCGTGAATCCCATTTAAACCCTTAAGACACAAAAAACTAAAGGGATAAGATTCGTTTTTCAAAAAAAGCAAATTTCAAAATGCGGAAACAAAAATTTACAAAATATAAAGATAATTTACACTTTTTCGAACATTTTGCTTTGCATTTTGTATTCCTACGTTACAATAATTGGAAGGACATGAAAATTGACTTTCAATCAGCTCTTAAAATAAAAAAAATTTTAACTTTAAATCTTCATATCGCTTTAAATGCAGATCTCTAAATATGTTGCACAGTGTGATTGATAACTATACTTTCACTCCAGGGAAACCCAAATGGGTTGTTCAGTGTTATATGTAATAGCTCTGTCCCGTGCTCTTACCTGTTCCAATAGTTCGGCCATCTTTTCGTTGGCCTCGTACAGCTGGAGCTCCACGGCATTCGTGGCATGCTTGAGAGTCAGGAACTCATCGGCCAGTCGCTCCACAAGGCCGCTGGTAACGGGCACCCCGTCCGAGTTGACATCGACCAGGCTGTCGAGCTCTTGAGTGCCGATACTGTCGGCGCTGTCTGCGCTGCCCGACTGCAGAATCTTGAAAAGCTTTCGCTTGAGCTCCACGGATCCGAAGACGGGACGGGGACTCAACTGAGCGCTCTGATCCTGTTGCTTCTCGCGCATGTGCTCCAGTTCGCTGGTGAGGCTATGAAGTGAGATATTAATTAAGAACATGATTCCTTTTTTGTGAAATCAGATAATCTACCTGTTTATCTGATCGACTTTCATTTTGTGCAACTTGTCCAAAGCGTTTCGCTCATTGAGAGCCTTGTTGAACTTTGAGCTCAGCTCCTTGATTTGGGTCTCGAAATTGGTCTGTTGCTGCTGCAGCGACTCCAGCGCCACGCACATCTTCTCGTGCTGAGCCTGCTGCTCCTCCTGCGTGGTTTTATCTGCAATAGGTTTGTGGTAAAATAGAAATTGGTAAATATTTTTTTTAAGCTTTGAAAAAGAGCCGGAAAAAGGAAGATTATTCATCAGATCAAAATTAGATATATACAGTTACTTTAAATTAATGGGACAACATTTCTTTTAATTTATAATTGATTTGCTTTTTCAAGGAAAATAAGATTTTACTAATTCCTTAAAAATTCACTTTTGAGCATACTTTACTTAAGTGAAGTTTAAGAATTTAATAAGTTTTTATTTTCCTTGACAAACCAAAACTATCACAGGTTTTTTTAAACCTTATTTTGTTTGTTGGTAGGAAAGCATTTAAGAAATAACCATAAATCTTTGTTCAACTGCACTTTGTATTAAGATTAAAACGTTTTTAATATTGGCTAAGAAATAACCAAAAATCTTTGTTTATCTGGACTTTGTATTGAAATAAAAATCTTTTAGATATCTGATCTTTTTAAACAAAAAATTTAAATTTATACAAGTACATGCAGATTTTGCTTTGCGAAATTATACAAAACAAATTTTCCATAAGCAAATAACTTCTATTATTTTGACCGCAAGTATATATTGATATATATATATATATATTAATTTGTAACACTTTGATATGCAACTTTTTAAGTGACGTCTCTGTTTTCACAATGGGAACTTCTAAAAAAATATATATGTAGATGTACTTACGTGTTTCGATCTCCAGCTTGAGAGCCTTGTTCTCTTCCCTCAGGGCGATGTTGTCCTCCAGTAAGGTGAACATGTCGTGCTCCGGGTCCTGCTCGTTGTAGTCCGGCTCCCGTACGCGACTCCGGCTGCGGGTCTTGGCCTCCTGGGTGCGGAACTTGGCCACCGGAATGCGGCCACGTCGCTCCATTCTTCAGTTGTTGCGATTTGCCTGGCAGGGGGAATAAAATATCGTTATATTGAGTGACTAAACATTAGGGGATAACTTAAACTTTGCTTACGTTTCGCTTGCGCACAAGCCTTAAAGCCAATTTCCTTAACCTCTTATGCTAAGCAATGCAAATGGAACTTAATGCTGCCATCACCGAATGTTGAGTGTTTGGGTGTGGTGGGTGTATTATAGGGAATGCTTTTGGATGGAGGTGTGTGTGTGTGTGGGTGTGTGTGTGCTGCATGCCTTTTGGGTGACGAATTGCTCCTGGGGTTGGGGCCCACATTGAAACGCCTTGGAGTTTTACTTTTCGATTTTATTATTTGCTGTTTACAATTTCTTCTTGATTTCAGTTTAATCTTGCCTTGCCCGCCCCTTTCCTGTCTCCCTACTTTGCCCTGGGTGCCACTGCGTGTGCTTCTGCTGTTGGGTTTTTGGGTTTGATTCGCTTGTATTCTGCTATTTGCTCTCTCTCCTCAATATTCTGCTTCGAGTGCTAAAAATGCAGGACACCAGTACGCCTTGGTTAAATTTATATCAGAAGTTGGCCGAGAGCATTTGGAATGCCTGCCGAAAGTTGCTACGAAACTAGTTAAAGTGCCACGCCCACTGCTTGATTTAAGCTTATAAATGGTTTTAGCTTGGCTTTAGAAATATTTGCTTGTTGGTGCAGAAGCGTTTTCGTTTACCTCCGTTTTACTTGTTTTTGTTTTTGTTTTTAGTTTTGTCAATTCTTAACTATTTTAATTTAACTGTATTTTTTGCCATTGTTTGTTGTTTTGTGTTTTGTTTCTTTTGCTAATTACTTATGCATACAATTTCCTTTGCTTTTGCCGTAAATCAATTTCATGTTTTGTCACTTGTAGTGTAAAAATAAAAAAAACCTAAAGTTTATACACAAAAATTCTCGAGTTTAGTACAACTAGTTTTTTTGCTACCTTTGTTGTTTGCCTCGCTTTAAATATTATTTATAAATTTTTGAGATTGAGTTGCTTTTGTTTTTCGATTTAGTTTTTTCATTCAATTTTATAAAAATAACTAATTAAAGGCGGCTTAGAGCTCTTTGTTTTTGCTTTTTTTCTCGTTATCTTGTTGTGTATGCTTCTATGCTTGAATTATTATTTTTTTTTTTAGAACTTTTTGATTTTTTTAATTTGGTTTAAATAGCTATATAGTAAATGTTTTTATATATATTTTCGAAATTAATATTAGTGTATTTTTTCTTTCCTTTTTACAGCTAATTTTAAGATTTATCTTTGGATAATCATGCTTTGTGTGCTAAATACTTTACATGTCTTTACGAATTTTATAATTTACATTCCTTCTTTTTTAGTATACGTACGTATAATTTTTTATAAATTAATATTTTTATAATTTATTTATATATATTTATATATATTTGTTATAATATATGTGAAATTCTGAGTCGAACAAGAAGCCTCAGTATTGAGATTGGAAATACAGATCTGTTAGGGAGAAAGGGGTTAATTTTTGTTATATGTTTTGAGCAGTTTGCATTGAAAATACATAAATAAATGTTGATAATGGTTTATAATAAATCAAACAAACAATACGAATTCATTGGTCTTTGTACTGAAAGGTAAAATAAACAAACATTCGTTTAAAGGCTAGAAAAGTATGCTAAGCTACGCAGCTAAGCCTATAAATGGTGTCCGCTTTAATTTAAATGATTAACGAAATACTGTGGGTTTACGAAAGTGAATAGTCTCTATGTAATTATACATAATTATATTGAGATACCCTGTTTTTCTGGGGTAACGCGTTGTCAGAATTTGATTTCTTGAAAATATTTCCGACATCGGAGATTCAGTTATAAGTAGTTTTTTTAATTTTCTTTTATTTCATACGAGTTATGTGTTGTAAATATGTTTATCTTTGCGTTGCATTATGACCAAGTCATAGAAAGGGAATAATCTTGGCTTTCTTTTAAGGAACGTGTTGTGATACAAATGAAATGGATAATGTGTCTTGAAGGGTTTCGTTTGCAAAGGATATATCTGTGTTAAAAAACAAGAAATTTTTTTGTTTTGACAGATCTATTCGTCGTACAACATACAAGTGTGTTAGGGAGACACTCGCCGCATGTCATCCACTGTGAGTTGCAAGATTCACAAGCTATATTTTAGACTGATCGTTAGTTGAGTTATGTTCGTGACTGGACACCTACGACCGCGCCTAGTCTGAGGATGCGTTTCAAACGATGTTGCTGCATGCTTCAGTTGTTGTTCTTGTTGTTGTTCTTGTTGTTGTTGTTGTTGTTGGTTGTTTGCTTCGTTGTGGTGTTCTGTTTGGTTTCAATCGGTTCGATTACTTGTTGCTATCATCTACATCTTCTCGATGAAGCCGCGCAGTTTGTCAATGAAGGGACGTCGGTAGGCCGACGAGTGCGCAATCTCCAGCTTGTACCACTTGTCAAACGACTCCTTGGGAATGACCTCGCTCTCGTACAATACGCTGAACGTACTGCAAATGGTCTCGCCGGCGGCCATCTCATCCGCTAGCTCGGCCATGAAGTGCTGCTGCAACGAATCGACGGCCTCGTCAATGCAAGCGATCTCCAGCGCCTCCTGGGCGTCGATACAAAGCCGCAGCAGTGGAGTGCACCGGCTGCGGAAGCTCTCCGTGTTCAGCTGCAACGGTCTTGCGTTGCCGCCGCCGCTTTTGTTGTTGTTGTTGTGGGTACTTGTCGTCACATTCATCGCGAAATCACAGCACAGGAATCTAGTGAGCTGTCTCACAAAGTTGTCGTTAATGGCCACATTGGTGTTGATGTAGTCGATGGCCATGTCGCAGGACAGTGCCAGCAGGTATCTAATCCGCTCTACATGCTCCACCGGCGATCGAGGCGTGGTGGGTGCTTTCGCCTTGGCTTGTCCATGGCCATGTCCCTGACCATGTCCCTGACCCTGGCCGGGTCCGTTGTCCAGAAAGTAAAAACTGTGCGACTGCACAAAATCGCGATACTTGCGCACATCGTTCCAGAAGAGCTGTCCGCGGTCCAGCTTATAGTCGTTGTGCCACAACTTGCGGGCATAGGCGGCTCCGAATTCCTGCACAAAGAAGCTGACAAAGGCGTAAACAAAGCGCTCCGTAAAGACCGGACTGTCCAGCCAGCGGCGCTGCCACAGATCCTTCAGGTCCAACTGTCCCGCGTGAATGATGGGGCCCAGGAACTCGAACACATAGCCCCAACCGTTGGGCACATCCACCAGCAGATCGGGGAAATCCTCGCCAAACCTGGCGTACGCCTGCCCGAAGATCTCCTTGTCCACCGCCTCCTTGTCCATCAGATAGGCAAAGACGTTGGCACAGGCCTGACGCTGCTGCCGCTTCACCTCCCGCCGATGCAGATACTCCATCAGCAGGTAATGCAGAGTTTTCGACTGTTGCGTACCGCTGTGCGCACGCCAAATGGTCAACACCTCCGGTTGCCAGTCGCGCGTGTTGAGCGCCTCCTCAACCAGCTTGGTGATCAAACCCTGGCACTGGTTGCCATCGAAACCGGCATCCTGCGGGCTTTCCACATGGCTTCTGTTGCCGGCATTGGCGGCCGTCGGCAGGGGTGTTCCCAGTGGCGTTTGTGGCTGCTGGTACGGCGAGAATCTGTAGTTTTGACCCGGACGTTTCAGCAAGGACGTCGGCGGTGGCGGCGTCGGGACACTGGGCGCGTTCGCGGGCGTCGAGCTGACCGGACGGTTGCCCGCATAGCGCCACTGGTAGTGCGACGGGTTGCCCAGCTTGGCGGACGAATCGTCGCTGGCGCTGCTGCTGCTGAAGCGCAGCTTGCTGGGATCAATGCTGAGGGTCTGGTTCTCGTGGTGCTGCTTGTTGGGCATCTTCTGCATGAAGTAATTGCCGCCGTCGTGTCCGTGTTGGTGGTGATGCTTTTGCTGCTGCTGATGGTGCACCGGCTGCTGGTTGTGGTTCATGCCGCCGCCGCCGCCACCGCCACGTCCACTGTTGTGGTGCGGCTGATCCTTGGGTTCGTCGTGCTGCTTGTGCCGCTGTCCGCGTCCACCCTGCTGTCCAGATTGATGGGTGGCTGCCGCCGGCTGGTCCCAGTTGCGTTGCCTCAGGTCCAGCACATCCTGCATCATGAACCGCACTCGACTGCTGATCTTGATGTGCGCCTGCTGCCGGTGCCCCGTTCCGCGGGAACGGTTTATGATATCCTGGATGCGGCGGAAGATCTTCTCAATGCGATCCCTCAGCTGGTAGTGCTCCGGCTGACTGGCCTCCAGCAGATGGCCCACCGTGGTCAGCAGCTTGCACATGTACTCCAGTTTCTCCTCGCATCCGTGCTCGAGCAGTGACTCCACGCAGTTGAGCACTCGGTCGCTGGTCAGCGATTGCAGCTTGAAGAGCTCGCCGATGAAGCGTACAGTGCCCCAGGCACGACGACGGAACTGGTACTCCAGATCCTCCATTTCGGCGCGCAGCTCCGTTTTTCTAGCCGGCTCCGTGCACTGGCTAATGCGATCCATTGTGGGCTGCAGCTTCTTGGCCTTCGCGTTGGCATCGTTCACATTCGACTCGAACTCGTGCTGAATGCGTGTGATCAGTGAGCTGGTGAAGAGTGACTTGTTCTCGGCCTTGATCTCGTGGAAGAGCACCTTGCAGAAACGGGCATAGGTGGGCGCAAAGTTCGGCTCACTAATGGTCTTCTCAAAGATCAGCAGCATGACCTGCAAATAAGTTGTGATTCAAATGTTAGTTGTAAACGGTTGAGCTCTTAAGCAGTTAGTATCAAAGAGAAATATCTTTACTGGAATAAATCATCTTTAAATCAAGACTATAGTAACTTACGTTTGTCATTTTGGCTTCATTGTCCATCTTGATGCTGGACATCTCCTTGAGCAGCACCTCGAAGTTATCGGGCGTAAGTTTATTGAGTATGCCGCGCACCTTCTTGAGAACGCCCTCGACATCGTGGTCGTCGTCGTGATCCTGGCCACTGGCCATGGACCCGCGACGCAGCGTACCCGGCTGCCAGGCGTTCTCGCATTCCGACAACTTGATCTCCTCCTTAAGCGATAGCTGCACCCGAATGATGTCCATGTGTCGCTGGCTCGAGTTGGCTCCACCACCGCCGCCGCCACCACCACCACCGCCCATGTTGCCCATGCCAAGAGAGCCGCCCATCTGCTGATGTCCGTCGTGGTGCTTCTTGTTCGGTCCGTGGCCACGTCCGCGCTTGCCGGGCACATAGTCCATCGACTCGTTGAAGTTCATGTGCTGGTACTGCTGGACGTGCTGGCCGTGCCCGCCATGAGCATGATGCTGCTGCGGTTGCTGCTGACGCGAGACGAACAACTGCGAGATGCAGTCACCCTTCTGGCAGGGCACCATGGGTGGCTTGCGCGAGTCGCTTAGCTTGGACAGCTCACGCAACGTTTCGATGGAATAGTGTAGATTTCTGGGCACCTGTGGACCTGGACCTGGACCGGGAGCGGGAGCGGGGCTGGAGCTTTTCGACTGCGGAAGTTTCGACTGGCTCGTTTTCGGAGATCCCAAAGCCGCCTTTCCGGCTGCCTGATGCAGTGGAGAGCCCCTCTTGCTGCCTGCGCTCTTCTCTCCCGCAATCGGTGCATTAACCTTGGGTGCACAGTCCACATTATCCGCACTCCGGCTGCTCTGCGAGGATTCATCCTCTGCTGCCTTGCTGAGCGTCGAACTCGACCAGGTGGAGCTGCATATGAAACCTGTTTCGTGGCGCGTCTCCTCGTGGAAATCCCCGAACTTCAGTTCGACAACATGCTCCTCGACCTTGCCCACGTCTCCAGCGCCCACTGTTACTGGTTCATCATCCTCGCACACTGAACTGCTGCTGTTGAGGAATTGCAGCTGCTGCGTGTCCGACGGATTAGCGGATGTGTTGGGGCTGCCCTTTTGCAGGAACTTGGCCACAATCTCATCGTTGGCCATGTGCTTTTCTGATTTGCCTTCCGGATTATTCGACATGCTATTGAAGTCTTCTTTGCTGTTAGCTGGGGAAAAAAAAACAAATTGAAATTAGTAGCTGATTGAAGTTAAATAATGCAATAATTAAGAGACAAAATATGTTTGTAATAAGACAAAATCACTTACATTCAGGATCGCTGTCCTCCTCCGCCGCATCGATGTCATTCTCGTCATTGTTGTTGTTGCTCGCCAACTGCTCCTTGGGATTGAGCAGCGGCTTGTCTCTTAGAGTAGAACTTACGTTAGGATTATTACTAGTTGCACTAAGCTTATCAGTCGTCGGTTGCGCCATCGCCTTGTCATCGACAGCAGTCGTTCCTAATTTGGTTGTTGCCGTTGCCGTTGTCGTTACCGTGTTTGTTGTTGTTGTGGTAGCAACAGCGTTGTTGTTTGTGTTGATCTCTGGCACGCCATTACCATTGCCGTTGCCGTTGCCCCTGCCATTGCCATTGCCATTGTTGTTTTGGTTCTGGTTCTGCCCCTGACTACTCGTGGTGGTTGTTATCGAGGATTTTTGTTTCTTTTTCTCCAGCTCCTTGGCTCGCTTCCGGGCCTTAACCTGTTTTTTGGTCGAGTTGTTGGTGTTATTACTGATGGCGGTGGTTCCAGCAAGCAGGGTGACGGCAGCCGAGATGCGTGAGGCAGCCGGTGTTGCTGCAGTTGATGGTCTTCCAGGGATCTGCTTGCCCTGCTGCAGAAGATTCACTGGCTGCTGCTGCTGGTGCTGCTGCTGGTGCTGCTGATGTTGTGACTGTCGGGATGTGTGTGTCGGCGTGGAGGCTGCCGACGAGGAGGCCCCCGAACTGGTTGTGGTCGAGGTGGCGGGCGGAAGGACCGACTTGGTCGGCGCCGGAACAGCTGTGGTGGCAATCGACTTGGTTGGCTTCTGCTGGGCCACACGTGTTGTCGGGGGATCTGCTGGAGCTAGCATCGGCTGGCTTCTGGACAGGATGGAGATGCCCGGGCATCCGCTGGCCGCTGCCTCGGCCACGTCATTCGCTATGGATGTGGGCGTGGCGGTACCTGAGAGTAACCAAAAAAATACGTCAATGTCGAATGGGTTCTGTGTTTTTCGGAATGGCAATCACTCACTTTGCTTGTTGGCTGATTTGGGGCGCTGCTTCTTGGCTTGCTCTTGGAACAGGACGGGCTGCTGACCCGCGTCGATGGCCTCGGGCAGATTCACATCCGAGTGTACCAACGGCAGGCTCTCGTGCGTCTCTGTGACATTGTCCACTGCAAGAGGAATCATTAGACTTGGGACACTAAAAGCCCGGCTAACTTCGGCTTGCCGATGTTTGACATACCCCGCGAGGGTTTCTTTTCTTATTGTTTCTTAGTTTCTTATTGTTTTCGTTTAACTACAATTGTATTTGAAGTTGTGTTTCAATTTGGAAGGCTATTTCAGTTGGATGGTTTAAAAAGATTTTATAAGAACAGTTTACTGGGATGCTTACGTTCATCTCATGTTGTTCTCTTAAGAAATATACAAAAATGGAGCAATGCTCTTTGGAATGGGACTTTCAGAACAAATAAAAAGTGTTTTATAACCCATGAATATAATAGATGAACTCAATAACTCGATATTTTGTATACAAAACCAAGTAAATGTTAATTTATTAACTCACCGTCACTGTACTGCCAGAAACTTAGATGGTCATCGGCGTTGCCCGAGTGAGCCAGTAGTAAGTCCTTGACAATAACGCTGATTTTATCCTTATCCGTGGCACCGGGTGAAGGTGACGACAGGTCGTCTTCCTGAACAGCCGCTTCCTCGGCAAACATCATGGCAGGCAACTTCTCCGCGGATACAGAGTGGTGGCCGAGGGAAGTTGCCGATTTAACCGTTTGCATCTGCTCATCCACCATGACGCCGGAGACGAGGGACGAGCCCGAAGCGGAGTCCATGACAATGGGCGCCTGAAATAGGCACATGGTGCTATCCGAATCCAGGGCCGTGTTCGGTGTTAGCGTCGCGTTCGAGTCCTTCGCCTTGAACACCGTGTCCATCACGTTCTCCTTGGTGTCCGGATGGATGATGGGAATGGCGTATTTCCGCTTGCCGGTCTTGTCGTTGGTGGTGGTCACCATTTGTTGGGCCGTTGCCACCGGCGGAGTAGGCAGCGAAGTGGTTGAAAATCCACTGGCCACCGCCGCCACTCCAGCCCCACTGGGCACACTGGGCAACGCTGTGGCGCTGCTCGTCTGCAAGTGCGGCGCATAAGTGTGCAACCCACCCGGCGTTTGGGGAGGCGGTGGTGCAGCCAGGCCAGCAGGAGCGAGCATGGGAGCCGCCGCAATCCCGGCTGGCGCGCCCAGCGTAAGGCCCGGAATGAAGTTGGGCTGAAACTGGAAGGCCGGCGCTCCGTTCAGCGGCCCGTTGCGTGTGTTCATAATGGGAGCCACCGTTGCGGGAGCGGGACGCGGGGCACTTGCCTGCGCCACAGCGTATGTGGCAAAGTAGCTGGGATGCTGGGCGGTGGCCGCAGCCCTCTGGCCGCCTCTCATATTGCCCCTGTGCGAGTTGCCGCCACTGGCCACGTTGTTCGCGCCGCTACTCTGTGCCGTGGGCATGTGGTAGTAGGCAATTGCCTGCGTCTGGCCAGCTCCAGCTGCCACGCCAGGTCCCTGCTGTTGGCCATTCGGCGGCAGCTGCTTCTGCGGTTGCTGCTGCTGTGCATAGAAGGCGGTGGCCGGAGCTCCGGCCGCTCCGTTCGTGGGAAAGGCAACCGCCGGCTGCATGCCCAGGAGTTGACCGGTCTGGGCGTAGGGTAAATAGGTGGCGGAGATGTAGGTACCCGCACCACCCGCATTCAGACCAGCTGACTGCGGGAAGTGGGGCGGCAGGGCTGGGTTGTTCAGCGCACGGGTTAGGCTCGCCCCGGGAGCCACGCCATTGGCTCCACCATGATGGGCATTGCTGTGGGGATGTCCCAGCGAATTGCTGCTGGCGGCGGCGCTCAGTTGGAGGGCAGCGCCGCCGCCGCCACTGCCATTGTTGCTGGTCGGCGCGGAGTGGGCGGCGTACGTTGGCTGGGGGTAGAAGATGACCGGTTGGTGGTGCGCCTGTGCCTGCACCTGCTGCTGTTGTTGTTGCTGCTGCTGCTGCTGCTGCTGGATGTGTTGCTGGAGATGGTGATGCTGCTGCTGCTGCTGTTGGTGTTGCTGCTGTTGTTGCAGCAACTGGTGCTGCTGCTGCTGCTGGTGGTGTAGGCCGCTGTGATTCGGGACAAACAGGGCGTGGGCCGCCTGCTGCTGCTCCTGGTGTTGCTGCTGGTGCAGGATACTACTCCGCACCTGCTGCTGCTGCTGCTGCTGCTGTTGTTGCTGCTGCTGTTGCTGAACTGCCTGTTGCTGATGCTGCTGCTGGAGGTGATGGTGGTGCGAGTGCGCCGTCTGATGGTGCTGGGCCTGGTGGCTGTGGTTCGTCTGGTGTGTCGACTGTGGTCTGGTTCCCTTCCCACCCCCTCCCTGTTGTAGGAACATAGGAGGACCTTCGGAGGATCTGCACACGCACACGCATCGCACGCAATCGCACGGTCACACGCACAGGCACAGGCACAGGCACACACGGAGAGTTAAGAAAACCGCGGCCGGAACAAAACAGATGTACAAATCGTAATGTTAGTAAGATGGAAATGGAAGTGAAAATGGGTTGGCGATGTATGTAAGGAATGATTGCGTATTATGCGTATTATGTTTCAAAGCCGTGGGATTGCATGCGTATGTGTTTCGAATCGAGTGGGTGAAAAAGCAACCAAAAAGCGGCATGCAAATCATGTCTTTAGATCTTATGACTAAGAGATCCATACTAAACTGGTCGAATGCACTCCCGTTCACCTCTTTGTTGTCCGCCCAGTCCTCTCACTCAATTGAACTCTTTAATTGGAATATGGAGTATGATGTCACTCGCGGGGCGTGAACACATCCGAAATGCTTGCGAAGATGGCCCAACCGACACCTTATCGCCGGGTTTATCAATGGACTACTCACTGGCAGAACGGAAACCAAGCACTAGCGAATGTGTGACACACAGTAACAAGTGGCGCTATTAGTCAGTACTGGCCTTAAAGCGCAATAACACAATAATAAGGCAGCCACAAAGAAGCAGCAGCCAGCGGGCGGGCGTGGGAGGTGAGCGATGGCCCGCTGTCGGCAGTTTGGCCACAACCAGTTTGGCATTCCGTCAGCACTTTCCTCGGCACAGTGCAAACTGCCAGTAACGGATCACTTAAAACTGTTGAGGATGGGATTCAATTCGACCAAAGGGAATTTCTTTTGTCGTTTTGTTAAGCAAATTTAATTAAACTAGGCATAATGCTGATTGATAAGAATACAACAATTGCATCATCAGTGGCAGCATAGAGTGTATACTCGGAAAGCAAACCTTTGAGGTTCCTATGACCAAGTAATTCATAAACACAAACAAAAAACTGGCTGAGAATCAATTGACTTTCACGTAATGATTGGTTTACCAAGGAATTGAAATTGATTCAAAGAGTTTCAACTTACAGAAAAATATTACAACTTTTTCTAAGGACTGCAAGTTGATACTTAAACGTTCCTACTCGCAGCTTACTTTTTAATTATATTTAAATGGTACAACCTTTTAGTATTTATTAATTAAATCAAATTTTCTACAAAAAGCTAACCCCATTTATGTAATATTTTTTGGTAAATATTAAAATATTAATCAACGGATTATTAAGCAGCCTATTGCAAGTCTTAAATAATTAAAAAAGGAATTAATTAGATATTTTTGAAGATGGCAGATCATCTTGGCCAGTTTTCACTGTGCTGTGCCGATTGCAGCTCTGCGGTGGCCTAGAAAAACCAACTCCGCTGCAGTTTGAGGCCAAACACCTCGCCTGGCGAAAACCTGTTCCAGCCAGAGAAAAAGATGCCGCCGCAACTTGAGTCGGACGCCCATTTTCACTCGATGGCGAGGAAAACGAAAACCTGGCTGGCATAAAGGCTCACTTGTTTCTGGTTTGTTTGTAAACAAGACCAGTTGGACCAATGTGTGGGTGCTGTTCTAATTGGGATCGCTGATCGGGAGTGCATTCCTATTGGGTTGTTTGTGCTGAGGTGTGTGCGTTAAACCAAGGAAACAATAACTTATGCGAGTTATTTACACAAGAAGTAGAGCTCGGATGTAAATGCAGTGTAAGTGGATAACTTACCGCTTCCTGTGCTGCTGCTACTGCTGCTGATTTTCTCGAGGACTCTGCTCGATTGGTAGATGATGCGGTGATTCTGTTGGTATGGGGTTTATCCCGATGCTTTTTACGTCTTGATCCTGTCCGGCTTTCACTTGACTCCTGGTCAAGTCCTACGCCTCCTTCTCCTTCTTCTTCTTATTTGCTCCTCCTCTGCCAATTAGCTTTCTTTCCTCGTTTTGGACACCTCGTCGTGGTTAGCTCTATCCGGAAATTTCAGATATTCCATGTATAAAAATACGCGAGCTCTACGATGCACATCCACATCCACATTTGTGCAGACGGACGAGGGGCACGTTCACGTACATACGTACAAAAAATACAAAATAACGTACGGCAAGTGCTAAAATTTCACGGTAATTTTTCTATAATTAAGAGTGAGAGAGAAAGACAAAACGTAAGCTTGAATTTAGCATTTACATAAAATTACAATATGATTAATTCTATGAACTTCCGACCAGCGCCTGCTACGATTTTTTGTTCCCTCTCTGTCCAGCTGAGCAGGCTCAGCCCCAGATTAAGAATAAAAAATTGACAAAAATTTCATGTTTTGAGTGTGCTGGCAAAGGGTTTTCCGTTTTCCAGGTTTTCTTTTTTGGCCTTTCAGTTTTCAGTTTTTCCTGCGAAGGCGAGGCGTTGGTTGTTGTTTTTTTTTTTTTTGCCGTTTCTCGCCTTTTGCCGTTCGCCTTTTTGCGCTCTCTTTCTGTCTCTGTCTGGCCATTGCTACTCACCGCCTTGCTCCGCTCCTCCTCACTCGCCCTCTCTCGCTCGCACACCACACACAAAACTGAGGAAACAAAAAAAAATGCAGTTCCACGCGGGGAACACGCCAAAAAGTTTCACTGGCACTGCGCCTTTACATCAGTGCATCGTCTGCTACACCTCTTTATGTATACGCGGTTCACTATATGTTACAAATAATTTTGTAAATGTAAATAGTCTACAGAAACTCGTCCGTTTCGTTTGATGAAATCAAAGTGACCGTGACGGGGTTGATGAAAGATGGCAAGGTTTAGCATATAACGCACTAATAAATACCATGGAAAGGTAGAAATATACAGAAATTATACCACATATATTCGTGTTGATTTAGTGCGGACTTAAACCTGGGAGTTGAATTTGGCTAGAAGCTCTTCAGTCCATTTTTTTGTTAGATTTTATTTAATCAATTTAAACTTTTTGCTTATATTTTATTTAAACATAATAGTAGTTCAGATTTTATTTTAAGATTTTTTGAAGTGTGGGGTGCTTGTCTATTTTTTAAAATTCCCCTGGACATATATGTGTTAGAAAAGCATCGTTACAGTATGCTTCTAGAAAAATGTTAGCTTAGGCGCTATTTTGTTATTTATTGAAGCCATATACTTACTTACAAACTAGATATTTAAATCAGTAATAAATTAAGGCGCTTTTTTTGAATCGTAAGAATAATTCGCTTAGTAAGTAGGACTGGCAACAGATGGCGCCGGTGGTATAACAAATTATCAGATAAAAACTTGGGAATCCCAAAATTAATTTTTTTTTAATTCCCAGAAATTAAAACTATACGCGCCATTCTACTTAAAATATCGCTGGCGAGTAAAGTTAAAAAAAATCTAGTTCTCTTAATTAAGGGCTGAATTATGTATTTTTTTGTGACTGTTTAATTGTAAAAACGCCAATTGTTTTAGTTGAATAAGTTTTACTATGTAAGTACATTATGCTTTTTTTTGAAGAGCTCATGCGCAGAATTTAACCTTCCATTCGCAGCTTCCGCTGTATGTACTTTCCCATCAAAGTTTCGATAATCCCCTTCGTGGAGGAACAGCACTGTTTACGCTTGTAGTAAAAGTTTCTGTTTTGCCGGATGAGCTGCCATGGCCGCCACCCCCTTTCTTTACCCATCCCCTTTACTCATCACCTTGAAGTAGCCTCTTATCAGTAGCTTTCCATGGGTACATTTCCAATGATAGCGAACTAGCGAACTTCTTAGCCCTCCATCTTAATATACTGAATAATATTTAAAACTTTAAATTGAAATGGGGGCCTTTGCCCACGCATTGAATAACATATACACAGTGCCCCCGAACAGGAACTGAAAGGATTATGTTGTGGCTGGGAAAGCAAAAAGACTAGACCGCAAATGCAAATGTTTTAAGTTGGCACAACAAAACCGCACACAGACAAACGGTTTTTCCATTGCAGTTGCGAAGTCATTTACATTGCTTGTTTTCCTGTGCGCCCTGTCATGTTTTTGTGGCCTCTGCGGTAGAATTAAAGACAGTGTGTGCCAAAAACAAATGAAAAAGTGTAAGCATAAACTTTATTTTAATGATATAGCCTAATTATAACACATTTGAACTTAGCGGGCACATGTGGCGCCACCTGGACTGCTGACAGTGAAAGCTTAATTAACTTTTAACATTTTAACGGATTGTTGCACTAATTGGTTTAAAACAGAATTTCGATTGGATAACAATTATAGAGGTATAGCTTTTATGCAAACTTTGCCAATTTTAAACTTATTTTGGTAAAAACATTTTATATGCATTAAAATGTAAAGTTAACGAGGTAAATAATTTTTTATTTAAAAACTATACTCCTCAATTTCAAAATTGGTTTGCTGCACACAACGCATGCTAAAAAATATTATTTTGCAGTTCAAAGTGTTGGCTTACTCATCATATTTCAAAAAACTATATACAAATACTTAGCTTATATTCCGAACCCCCTTTTTAAACGCCTGTGTTTCATGGTATATTTTTCAATTGAAACTGACTTATTTGGTATTTTTTTCCAGCCGCGAACGGTATATGGTAACGCCTCCGCTGCAGCCACACCAAAGTCGAATTCCTTTGCTCCAGCTGCGGCCACACTAAGTCCGAAGCTCGATTCGCCCTGACGCGCGTAACGCTTTTTTTCCCGCATCACTTTCCTCCACACTCATTTGGCGCTGAAAAATCTACCCAACAAAAAAAGATAATGCACCAAACCGAATTTTCAACAACAAACGATAACTGCACCTAAACCGGATAACAGAAAAACCTTTTAATTTACTAATTCAAGTTTTCCATCCATGTTAAACAAATAAAAATAGTGCGCGAACTAAAAACCCGTAAAAACAGAATGGGCTTAGCCCAATATAAAACTTTTTCGTTTCTTTTAATATAGTTTATTTAAACAAATAAAATAAAACAAAGCGAAAACCCAACATTTACTCAAAGTAAATTGCGTTTAACCAACTACAATAAATGTTAATGTGAAAATTGTGCAATAATTAGAGAAATTTCTATGAGAAATTCATAAGTGAGCTAAGCATAAATATCGTTATTGGAAATACAAAATAAAATAAATGTTATGCAACTAAAAGTTAAAAGTTAAATCAAACAAAATAACCACGAAACGCAGTACATACAGATATACAGGTATATATATCAAAGGCATGTGTGTGTATAGAGGAGTTTGAGTCCTTGAAATAAGCATTTCGACAAGGACAGAGTATTACTACATTTTGAGTCAAATTCTGGGAGTCTTTAAAGATAAATAACCCACCAAAATGAAAAGAATCTGAAACAGTATCAAAGCGACGGATTCTAAATGCCCACCTGAGCCCCGCCCCCGGAAGCACCTGCCCACCGGAATCTGGGCATTTTCACCCACGCACGCAAGCGCAGGCTCCCCGGGAACCACCGCACCACCCAAAAATCAGCAGAGAGTGGAGAAATTAGGAGCTACCAAAATTATTTCTGCTTTGTGTCCGCCTTTTGTTTCAATCGCCCAGCCGAAAATGTGGAGGAAAGCGAGCAGGTTGGTCAGGGAAACCACCTCGTGGAAAACGCGTCGTCAGGGACAAACAGAAGCCCCAGCAGCACCAGCAACAACAAGAACAAGAACAACAACCAGGACGAGGACATCGACTGCACGAGGATTAGCCATCACCACATGGTCGCAGTTCGCAGTTGTTGCCGCTGTTGCAGCGCTGCTCCATTGCCGCGATTGTCAAGGTGAGTCCTCCATCGGTGTGCCATGTGGTGTGTGTGTCCTTTGGTGTGCATCTCTTTGCGTGTGTTTGTGTGTGTCCTCGAATAGAAGAGGTCAAAAAAATAGGTGCTAAGGGGTCACCACTAAATAATAATATCTGCAAATTAAATAAGCCTCGAAATTTTCTTCCCAACTAAGGTAAGCAGAATTGTGTGGAAAAATTCTGTATTATCATAATATAGCACACAACAAAACGTATTTTATACACCCAGACAAATTCAAATATTTTCACTTTAAAATAAATATTTTCGGTTCTGGTTTAGACCCGATGGGTGTTTTGTTTCATTTTTATTTTTAAAGATGCAAAAATTTAGTTTTAAATGAAAAAATAATTGAAATCTACAAGTTTTCCTATTGGATAAACAAATTATATATGTTAATCATGACATCAGAATGATTTTAGTTATATTTTGAAAAACAATGTTACAGTCAAATATTTTAGTGTTTAATTTTTCTATGGGGTTTTTCTCTGGTTGGGGTTTTTCTCTGAAAAATTTAGTTATTTCGGCAAATATATATATTTTTTAATAAGTTTAAAATCAGGAAATATAAATTCATATATATCTCTCTTTTGAAATTGTAAGAAAGTGATAATTATTTGGTGATAACATATTTTTTTTGCTTTAATGACCTTGGTAATAAAAATATACTAAAGAATATACCTTTAACATAAATTTTAAATTTTACTTGAAATTCTATATATTGACTATTGTGCAAATTATTGATGAGGATGTCACTCAGACACTTTCACTTTTTTTGCCCAAGTGGATTGAGAATGCTGAGATAAACATTGCCTTGCGGTTTGTCTGCATATCCACCAGATGGCGATGGCTCAATAAATGCCAACGCCATGTCAAAAGTATGACGAAGTTGGCCTTAGGCCGTTCGGCTAAGAGTGAATACATTGCCGAAACCTCAATTAATTCGAGTACCCCTTTTTTCACGGGGCCTCAAAACCCTCGAAGTTGCTCAATCTCAATTGAGGCTTGACGAGTGCGAACTCAATATAATGGTTGAATGTAACGCGTATGATTGGAGCTCTGGGCTATGATGTACTT